TAGAAGGTGAAAAAACTGCATGCAACAGTTATACGTGATAGTCTGTTTTCCACAGATGTCCGGATTATACGGACAAAACTGGAATATTTAGATCCTGAAACCTGAAAAAAAATTATGGGTGAATTTGATAAATAGAACAGCGAGATCTTGAATAATTGATTACCATGCTCGTCAAATTTAAACGTTTAGGTTTAAATTGTTAAATGTCAACACGGAGCTATATTGTGATACTGACATTTTATTTGCGATGTGCGGCTGGATGGTGTTCCGAGTGCCGTTGTCAACGAAGTGATCTTGAATGTTTGCAGTGGAAATCAACCAAAATGAAATTCGAATCATGAAATATTGCTATGCTTTGTATCGGTGTATGCACTTCACTTTTGTGTTGTCGAAGCTGAAAACGAGTACTTGTAATCAATTTCACGATTAATTGCAAACATTGTATTGCGATGTGGGCCCGCTTACCCGCGTGCCTGGGGAATATCGTTTTTCGATATAGACCAATCTAATGTTGTGTTCGGTATCCAGTAGAATTTTTTTCCAAAGTTACAGATAGGGGTGAATTCAATCAACTGCAATGCTACGGAAGCAATGTTTTTTTCATATTGCTGTCTAGCGGGTTCAGGAATCAAACATTTATGAGATTACTCGAGTTCGACAGTTCTACTAGAATCAGGAGGAGTCGAGGTCTGCGTACGATTTATCAGTGTTACTTCTCCCTTTAATCAATGGATGCATAGGATTGTTCAATAAGTGTTATTGTTCTCGATTGATTGTCTTATCATTAAGGCTTGGAAAAGTATACACTACATTTCTTGTTTTCTTATTGGTCGTTTTTTTAGGTAGAGACAGAGAGACAGAGAGACAGAGAGAGAGAGAGAGAGAGAGAGAGAGAGAGAGAGAGAGAGAGAGAGAGAGAGAGAGAGAGAGAGAGAGAGAGAGAGAGATGACGACCAAGTCAGGGCGAAATTTCATTCAAGTATTTGATATAAACGGAAGAAGACACCGTCTTTGCAGGTTGTTCTTACATAATGATTTCCACATTGGTCGCCCCTTTACTGGTTCCCACGTCGACCGGTCGCCTCTTGATATTTCCCAAGTTAGTCCCCCATACTGTTTCCCACATTAGTTGCCTCTTACTGGTTCCCACGTTGTCGCCACTTATTGTCCCCACATTGGTCGCCTCTTACTGGTTCAAGACTTGGTTACCTCTTACTAGTTCCCGCATTGGTAATCACTTATTGTCTTCGCATTGGTCTGTAGTGTATTCTTGCTAGTATGCCTGGCGAGTTCGCTTTATCAATCCGCTTTTTACTTTGAAAAATAGCATTTATTTGATTTCAAAATAACATTTATTTGTTTGACCGAATTTACATGGTACGTGTCGTCGATGAAGCGGAACACATTCACCATTCCGCAGTGTCTGGTCATAACCGTCCTTTTTTTTTTTTAGTGGAAATAGCATGTTGTTGCGAATTTGATATACTGTTTCTCATACTGCTGATTCAGCTCATATCATTGAATTTCATGACACTGTGTGTCAGAATGTTCAAATATAGTCGACAACATAAACTAAATGGTACTTACATCATATCTATTTTCACATGTCGTAGATTTATATCAATTTTCACGGTAACTATCATCTTATTTAATGTTATCGTTTACTGTCAATTCAAATCATCTTGTACATCTTACTGGTCCATGATTAATGAGATTACATTTCTTTTCTGTGTAAAAGACAAAAATCAATGCCATATCATGTCTTCTCTGTGCATGATTTTTCCCGCCTGGTTGCTACTTAAAAGCAAAACGTGTAACGTCTGCACATCGTTAAGGGTCCGGCAATGATTAGCCTTAGGAATAAGTCGTAACTAACCACGAACAGAAATAATTAACGCACATAAACCATGGTATTCTTTGAACAATTCAGTAACTTAGCGATTCATTAGTTCATTATCTGTTAGAAAAACACGTACTGTGGCAATGCAAGCTTCGCCGATGATGAAGATGCCCCAGTGTTTAATCTAACTAGTACACATGGATAAAATTTGAGAAAACAACAGAAAAGAGTACTAATCACCGAAACGGCACTCGTATCGCCAACAACTAACAAGACAAACGCTTAAAGATAAAAAGTAATTGTTTTCAAGGGAAGTGGACCTACAAAGCATAACTCCGTTTAACACCTCTACGCAGATGCGATGTTGCCAGGTCTAGTATTTATATATGGATAACGAACCATGCCCTCGCTTTGGCAGGGAACTTTCTCTTATCACCCCTATCTGCTATTGTTTGTCAGAAAATATATTAATCTTGGTAAAGTCAGAAGTAGCTTGTGGTGCAGGCTATTGTTTGGTAGTATGTTTTCCCTGAAGCTGAGTAGTCTTACATTTATTACATACAGCGTGTAGTAAGCTTGATTATCAGTCTCCAGAACCAGCTCCTCTTGGGTCTGTTTATTGGAAAACCTTGTGTTACAACTATTTTCTAAAGAGAGAAAGACAGACAGACAGACAGACAGAGAGAGAGAGGCAGAGAGAGAGAGAGAGAGAGAGAGAGAGAGAGAGAGAGAGAGAGAGAGAGAGAGAGAGAGAGAGAGAGAGAGAGAGAGAGAGAGAGAGAGAGAGAGAGAGAGAGAGAGAGAGAGAGGGAGAGAGAGAGAGAGAGAGAGAGAGAGAGAGAGAGAGAGAGAGAGAGAGAGAGAGAGAGAGAGAGAGAGAGAGAGAGAGAGAGACAGAGAGAGAGAGAGAGAGAGAGAGAGAGAGAGAGAGAGAGAGAGAGAGAGGGAGGGAGGGAGGGAGGGAGTGAGAGAGAGACAGAGAGACAGAGAGAGAGAGAGAGAGAAATAGAGAGAGAGAAACAGAGAAACAGAGAAATCGTTTAAACGTGTACTGTTAAGTAAATCTAAACAATTTCGACATATTGATTTGAAAATGTAAAACAGATATGTAATGAAAACAATTATTAGTATTACATTTTTGTGACATGGCATTCTAAAAAGATTACTACTCGTTAAAGTGATACCATTGTGCAGATGTCATGAAGCCACAATATCTGGTGCTGATTTTGTCGTTATATAGAAGTTTACATTACATCAACGGGAAAATATCTGAGGATGGATAGTAATTAACGGAAAGCTAACGAGCATTTCGTGAGTTTTATTTACACTAACCATATCATAACTACACTCAACTGATCCAATCATATTTCACCATTGATGCCGGTTCACTCGGTACTCTTTGACGTTGTAGCAAGAGATCCGAGTTGTTCCAAGTATAAAGAATCGCCTCTCAAACAGTAAAGCTCTTCAGTTTTCCTTTAATTATGGGTCGAAAATGAACTTCATGTGCATGGTTTGCACCCCAGAACCCGTCTTATCTTAAGAAGTGTGATGTTGATATTATATTTATGGGTTAGACAATGATCTTTTATCTTCCAACACGAAGATTAAAAGTATAAAGGCGTGTAACAATATTTCTTGGGAGGAGGTTGTGTAGTTTACGTATAAATCTAAACTAAAGAGAAATTAACAAGTCCCAGACAAGTCAACGGCATTCGATTAAATACTGTTAGAAATGTTCGCAATAAATTGTTTTGTGGTGAATACTTTTGCAATGCTGGACAATTGGTAACATTACATTGATCGATATCAATATTGACCAATCAAATACACCTCTTGAAAAGTGAAACTTCCTTGTTCCTGTTTCGGTAATACTAAAATCAATGGCGACAGATTTAACATGAATGGAAGTACTACACGAAAAAATAACCTGTTTTCTCGGAGTTTCTTGAACTGGATATTAGGTATTGTAAATTTTATATGCAACTAAAAGATATATTGCTTAAAAGTGAATTTAAAAAACGCACCAAAGGCGTTTTCACGAGATTCTAATCTTGTTTGACCTGAATGCAGTGAAACTAATTGATAATTTTAAATTAAGTGTATGGACAAGTTTATGAATCGTTTATGAAAGAGTTGGGCCTCTAAACTAGTAAACATTAAAATTGTACACTTTTGTCATTTGTATCACATTAACCTGGCTCAACTGTGATAGAAGTTATTATGTAGAAACTCCCGAAAAAGAGCCAAATGAATGGTCGTGAATCGATTCCGGGTGTGATGGGCTGTGTATCTCATAATGGTTGTCAGCTAAGGAGCTGAAATCATTCTCATTCCCTTGGATCTCCCGAAGGAATTCCGGCGAAAAATATCCACGGTTACAGAGTAAACATGCCATAATCTTCAAAGTCACATCGTTCGCTAACTGATAAAACCGTTAATGAAATACCAGTGTATGGTGAGCGGATCTCGGCGTTCACCGACTTCAGTTTCTGTGACGCGTTTTATGTATTTTTAAAACTTTTTTTTCTTTCTCTTTTTGTCTTATCTCGTTTCTATTTTATTAAGAGATTGTGGCAAGTGTTTCTAATTTTAGATAAAGAAAATCAATATTAGCTTTTTTCCTTGGCACACTAGTGTCAATTACATATTTTCTCTTGTTCTGATTTTATGTATGTGAATCGTGTTAATACTTTATGAATATTTTGATTTACATTTATATTAACTATAATTATAATGTTGTACTGTATGTGTTCATATAACAATACACCTACCTCGCCAAACATCCATTATTATGGAATTTGTGTATATGGTTGATCACCAGTTGCAGTGTAGACTAACTATCATTCGCGAGATAAATATGAGTTCTCAAGAATCACGATTTCGAAGTACAGTAACTTAAATGATAATTTATAGTATGTATTACTTCCCTGCGTTCAGGTTTAGAGTGCTTTGTAGTGTTATTGTCCATATCGAGGCACCGTAAATGTTGGCTATTGAAGAATCTTACTCCAATTCAGAGAGAGGTTGAGATTAACTTTGAACACCCCACTAACATGTCATGCCAATTTACCTCCCGGTTGAATATAATTATTTTCTCTGAAACTGGTCCGGTAAAACGATGAGCGAGATGTTAAAATGTCTTTCTCTTTTTTCACAGATCCTTAGTAATCTACTGGACATTGTAAAAGAGAGGGCAGACGATGCAGAGGCAGAGTTAGAAAAACTTATTGAGAACCAAAGCGTGTCTGCAACCTCAAGTGAAAACAGTGCCCGGACCGTCAGTACCCTTAGCAACGTCAGTTCCGGGAGTGACGAAGTATTCGACGGGTCCGGTTCAGTACCAGGATCTCCGGATACTGGCGGTCGCCACCTTATACAGAAAAACTGGGAGGTACGTTGTCAGATTTTAGTCCATGGCCTTGTTTTATAGATGCCTTGCAGTTTAAAAAATCCCTTTCGGTCTGACGAAAATCAGATTGATTTGAGTTATAGATACACAGTAAATAAGTCTGAAAACTTTTATCAAAATCTGCATTTTATAACTGGTTTACATTCATGAAAGGACTTAAAAATATTTGATCTGATTTTTAATGAGACCGTTCACCTCATATTTTATTTTAGTTCAAACGTTGCATTCCTCCTTAATGTCTGTTTTCCCATTTTTGTTTTTGATTTTTTGTTGTTGTTGTTGTTATTGTTTATATCTTATTGCACCAGACTGTCCTTTTCTTATTTTTTACAGACAGGATTCAAGGTAATGATGATTTGAGAATAAGTTACAGACTCGAAAATTTTTTTGATATGTTGTGATCTTTATTTCAAGCTTTAAAAAATCACCAAAAATATTTTCCTTTCATTTGGCAAAAGTACGACTTGCTGCATGAAAATTCCAAAGTCGCAATTTTTGACACAGCTCCGAATGAAAGAGTGTGTTGTAGTTAGTTTTGACACAGCTCCGAGTGAAAAAATGTGTTGTAGTTAGTTTTGACACAGCTCCGAGTGAAAGAATGTGTTGTAGTTAGATTTGAAGTTCAATACATAAAACTATTAACAACAGTTTAATGGTTTCTGCCCTAGTGGAAAAATTACATTTTCTTAAATATATAATTCCCATAATGGCGAAATGCAAATGGCAGCCAATTCTAGTGTAAACTTTGAGGCGGGGCCTTATTGCAGTAGCTAGTAACTGGGATATATCTCACTCAGAATTATTTGAAGTCTTGTCATCTGCCATCCAGAACAGCAGAGGTAGAGTGTATTTCCCAGAAAGTCAACCAAATATGTACAAGGCGACACGAGCTCTTTAAACTTCCTGAGAAATACAATCCGCCACAGGTTAGGATAGAAAAATCCACAACCGTTAGAGTGTTTTGGTCACGTGCATATTGTACATATGTATTTTCTAACATACCTATGATGGCTCAATGTCACTGATGACTTCCGTTTTTCCCTGTGCCTTACTTCCTGTATTTCATTTGTCAACTATCACAGGAAATCAACAGTATTTCTTTAGATATGACAAGCATCACTCTAATGCGATTGCCGTTCAGACTTCCGGTTCCGGCTAAACAGATCTGACAGCATGAATTATGCTATATATTAACCAAAGAAGATATCAGGAGGTTATTGGTTTTATGCCTAATTAACATTGTTTTCTTGAATGTGTCAAATTAAATTTCATTCCAAAACCGAAAAAACCAACAAAAAAAAAAAAAAAAAAAAAAAAAAAAAAACAAAAAAAAAAAAAAAAAAAAAAAAAAAAAAAAAAAAAAAAAAAAAACAAAAAAAAAAAAAAAAAAAAAAACTAACAAAACAAGGAAACAAAACATAAAAGCAAAAACAAAAATAAAACTAAAAAAAAGAACGAAAAAGTCAAACAAACAAACAATAAAAGAAAAACTATAAAAAGAAAACAATAATGATATTAAAAGCTCCTGTTCAAAAACATGATTAAATATGCGACTTTTAGGAAAATGAAAAAAAAAATTCATAAGATATGAGACTTTTCCAATAATCACGCTGTCACTTAAGACACAGAAAATCAATGTACCGGAATGCTGTTAATAAACATTTTAGTAAATACAGACACATGCTCATTTAGAAATGTGACAAATTGTAGGAAATTTAATCAATTTGGGTTGCTTCATATTTTTTTTTACATCATACCAAATAACATAGAAAATCTGAGAGTTGGATTTAAGGTTCTGTAATCCTCTTTTATCACTTTTTTCAAATGATCTTTGTCTTGTAATTAATCGTACGATATCGTAAGGAGATATACATAATACTTATACAAAAGCACCTTAGATCGTGATAACAATCCAAGCTCTTTAGTTGATAAATAAAGAGGAGACAGTGTATATTTTGTCGGACTCAGGAACTAGAAAAATATCATTATTCAAAATGTTTTGGAAACAAATCAGTTATTTGAGTATCTTAATGAAGTTAAACCACGTGATCAAGATTATTAGATTATTGGTCGAAGTCACTACTTAGACACTTCTGTCCCAGAGTCACCCATGTGATATGTTGTTATGGTAGCTTTAAGGCGAGAAAAGTCATTTGAAATTTTGATGGAGATCTAATATGGTCTTGACCTTATAAATGTGTCCTGTAGTCAAATGACTTATCATTTGACTTCAGTTAAATTGTGGTCTTGGCCAGTTGTCAGACCACTTCTGATTTTATTCTGGTCAATTTTGCTTCTTAATGTTATAGCAAAATATTAACCTGTAAACTATTCAAAAATTGACTTTCACTTTTGTCCTGTTGACCTTCACCTGTAGTCAGAAGACATTTTCATTATCGATTGATTCCGGTGAGCTTTGCTTTATATATAAATGCTATAACAAAATATCTGCCAATAACATAACTAAAATGTTCAACAATTTTACCTTGACATTTGACCTGTTGACCCTGACAACTTCTTATTTGATATTTGCATGTAATTTATGTTAATTTCCCGTTTGATTTCAGTCAGTTATTTAGCAGTAACACATTTATTTATGACAATGCTCACGGTATGTCCCATTCTATTTTTAGAATTTAATTATTTTCCATCTTCTCTCGTTAAGCAGACACAACATCAGCAACAAGTGTTTGAAGTCCAGTCAATGCAAACATTTCAGTTCTTACTCATTATCATAATATTCTTTCAGATAGACTTCTGCATGCATAACCTATATGTATATGACAGTGAAATGGCTGCCGGCTGGCGCACGGTATTTCTTTCAACTGTTTGTCCGAGATATACATTAGAGAGAGAAAAGGTTATATATCATTAACGTAATTGCAACATATTTGATGACTTTCCATTGCTACAACATTTTCGCCGAAGATTCTAGCTGACAATTATTCCCCTCCGGAGATATTCAGATTTGCAATGATGTATCTATATCAGGGGGAATCATCTGTACCGTTAACTCGTTAGCGAATTCATACAAACATCGTACATAGGATAGGTGATTGCTGTGTTCTCTGGCTTGTCTACTTCTCACCTGCTCAAAGATTTACAGCTTTCAGCCAACTGTTTGAACAGGTCACTTACAGTTCGCTGGAAATACATGTATAAATACAGCTGCGCGTTCGCGTTAGGGCCAAAGATTGAGGATGGGTTCGATCCTCAGTGGGCAGGATGGTATTTCACAGGAAACTGGTATCAAAGATAGTTCTGCTCTGTTGTTGCTGTGGTGTGTTTGGGCAAGACACGACATGAAACTGATCAAGGGAAATGTGAGTTTCTAGATTAATTAAAGAGGTGCTGTTCTCTTTGCCTTGGAGAAATTGTGCAGTGTAAATATTGGGAAGGTTGGGGGTATGAATACCAGGAAAACGGCGAAAAGGCGAAATGCGAAAGTCGTCCCTCCATGGTCACAGCGGTTGATATGACGTTAAAACAATCGTTGCGGTCGTGATATTGTTTCCTCGCCTTCTGTTGTCGTTTTCTCAATCTACCTATAGTTCAGCATAAACCCTCCCCCCCAAACCTCCACCCATCCACACACCCCACCACCACAAAACACACACCACCACACACACACACCCATCCACCCTCACTCACCCTCACACACACACAACAGACTCTCGTGAGTACATTGGTAAAGTCAGAATAAATAAACAATATTTCAAGCTTCCTTTCCATTTTCTTTCCTGTTCCTTTCTCCCCATCGAGGTCCATAAATTATATTTACAACGTTGTATATCTCTGGGCAAACATTAAGGAAGTCAGCAGGTTGATTAAACATGTTTCTTGCCTGGAGATATAATGTAAATATGGACAGGTTGGTTAAATTCCATAACATTCCCGAAGTTAATCAAACTCGGTTGTACATTCTAACTCCCACAGTATAAACATATACACTGTTTAAAACAACACGTGCCTACCTTAAAAGGAACCCTCCTGTGAAATCTATTTCATCGTTTAAACGCACAGCATCCACTTAATACTGGGAGAACCTGTGTGATAAACCAGATATTGGAAAGAAATCAGGTCAAAACATATTTTTGGAAAAATTTATCACCTGACCTGTTTTGCTGCCTGTACTTGACTGTTTAAAAAGCGATAACCTCACTGACGATTCTCTCTAAAATATGCGTGCTCGCATTTATCAGGGTTTTAAAGAATAGACGTAAGTAATAGTCTTACAGCTGTATAGTTCACAATTCGTCTCTTAGATTGTCGAGTGTTTGTTTAATTCTTTCAATATCTGTAACTATTTATAAAGACACAGTGAGAATGAGGTAGTGTGTCTAGAAGTCATGAGTCGTTGAGAATGAGGTAATTCAAATGCGTTTCGACATTGTTATTGCTTGTAAGACACTTAGAATAAGTAATATTCTGATAAAGCGTACAAGAAACATTTATGCTTTATCATTGTACGTATTAAGGTTATGTAACTCTGTATCGCAATGCTTACGTTTCCTCGACGTTTGTTTAACACTAACACGAATATATATACAGAAAGAAAAAAAAGCAAACGTGTGCTGGTTTTACTGACAGTAAGTTTATTAAAAGATCTGTGCTCTGCATTAAAGTCTGGTGCAATTTTGATGACAACTTCACCTGGTAGATGTTTTGTTGGAAAAAATCACAGCTACAACATAGAAGTTATTTGAAAGAACTTTAAGAAACAAAGCAGGTGGTTTCTTACCCAAAGAACACATTTTTTTCTTTAAGGAATAAAGTACAGTATTTTAGTAAAGTACGGTAAAGTACAACGTAATTACGACACATATATAATGCATATGTCTGTTATTACGTTAAAGCTGCTTGGATTTAGGTAAACTTGATTGAAATATTAACAATTGATTATGTTTCACATGATACTGGTGGTTCTAGCGTGGAAAGCACGTATTCACTGTGAACAAAGATACATCTCATTTAGACCCATTGAGAATAGGGTGATTAATAATGCATTCCCCTACCAACCACTGAGAATGAGGTAATTTAGCTATTATTCATTTTCTGTTGTACGTCTGGTCATATAGAATTTAAATAAAACAGTAGACACTAAACACAACACACACAGTATGAAGAGCTTGGTATCATGTCATCGATACTTGAAAGTTACTGAAATTAGGGCATAATTAGGTCTGAAGGTCACAAAACGATGTAACATATTACAGAAAATCTCAGTGCATGAATTGTCGTTACTAGTACACTTTAGGCCAGGAAAACTTCACTAACTCCCAATAGTATTGAAATGAAGTTACTGAAAACGGGAAAAGTCAACTAGAAAAGAATTGTCATTGAGAATGAGGTAAATCAAACGCGTGTATTATAGAGAATGAGGTAAACAAGTGTTAAGAATGGTCACGTGATTACTACTGATAATGATGTTGTCAAAGATCATGAATGTTGGGAGAAGATGAAATAAATTTCAATGTCACGAATGGTCACTGAGACTAAGGTAGACCAAATATCACGAATGGTCACTGAGACTAAGGTTTAACAAACATCACGAATGGTCACTGAGACTAAGGTTTAACAAACATCTCGAATGGTCACTGAGACTAAGGTAGACCAAACATCAAGAATGGTCACTAAGACTAAGGTAGACCAAACATCACGAATGGTCACTTAGACTAAGGTAGACCAAACACCATAAATGGTCAATGAGACTAAGGTAGACCAAATATCACGAATGGTCACTGAGACTAAGGTAGACCAAATATCACGAATGGTCACTGAGACTAAGGTAGACCAAACACCACGAATGGTCACTGAGACTAAGGTAGACCAAATATCACGAATGGTCACTGAGACTAAGGTTTAACAAATATCACGAATGGTCACTGAGACTAAGGTTTAACAAACATCACGAATGGTCACTGAGACTAAGGTAGACCAAATATCACGAATGGTCACTGAGACTAAGGTAGACCAAATATCACGAATGGTCACTGAGACTAAGGTAGACCAAACATCACGAATGGTCACTGAGACTAAGGTAGACCAAACATCACGAATGGTCACTGAGACTAAGGTAGACCAAACATTACGAATGGTCACTGAGACTAAGGTAGACCAAACATTACGAATGGTCACTGAGACTAAGGTAGACCAAACATCACGAATGGTCACTGAGACTAAGGTAGACCAAACATCACGAATGGTCACTGAGACTAAGGTAGACCAAATATCACGAATGGTCACTGAGACTAAGGTAGACCAAATATCACGAATGGTCACTGAGACTAAGGTAGACCAAACATCACGAATGGTCACTGAGACTAAGGTAGACCAAACATTACGAATGGTCACTGAGACTAAGGTAGACCAAATATCACGAATGGTCACTGAGACTAAGGTAGACCAAACATCACGAATGGTCACTGAGACTAAGGTAGACCAAACATCACGAATGGTCACTGAGACTAACGTAGACCAAATATCACGAATGGTCACTGAGACTAAGGTAGACCAAATATCACGAATGGTCACTGAGACTAAGGTATACCAAACATCACGAATGGTCACTGATACTTAGGTATACCAAACATCACGAATGGTCACTGAGACTAAGGTAGACCAAATATCACGAATGGTCACTAATATCACGAATGGTCACTGAGACTAAGGTAGACCAAACATCACGAATGGTCACTGAGACTAAGGTAGACCAAACACCATAAATGGTCAATGAGACTAAGGTAGACCAAATATCACGAATGGTCACTGAGACTAAGGTAGACCAAATATCACGAATGGTCACTGAGACTAAGGTAGACCAAACACCACGAATGGTCACTGAGACTAAGGTAGACCAAACATCACGAATGGTCACTGAGACTAAGGTAGACCAAACACCACGAATGGTCACTGAGACTAAGGTAGACCAAACATCACGAATGGTCACTGAGACTAAGGTAGACCAAATATCACGAATGGTCACGAATGGTCACTGAGACTAAGGTAGACCAAACATCACGAATGGTCACTGAGACTAAGGTAGACCAAATATCACGAATGGTCACTGAGACTAAGGTAGACCAAACATCACGAATGGTCACTGAGACTAAGGTAGACCAAATATCACGAATGGTCACTGAGACTAAGGTAGACCAAACATCACGAATGGTCACTGAGACTAAGGTAGACCAAATATCACGAATGGTCACTGAGACTAAGGTAGACCAAATATCACGAATGGTCACTGAGACTAAGGTAGACCAAACATCACGAATGGTCACTGAGACTAAGGTAGACCAAACATCACGAATGGTCACTGAGACTAAGGTAGACCAAATATCACGAATGGTCACTGAGACTAAGGTAGACCAAACATCACGAATGGTCACTGAGACTAAGGTAGACCAAATATCACGAATGGTCACTGAGACTAAGGTAGACCAAACATCACGAATGGTCACTGAAACTAAGGTTTAACAAAAATCACGAATGGTCACTGAGACTAAGTCTTTTCTTTAAGTCATGACATACCAATAAAAGTGAAAACATACACCCATTGCTTCCTGCTTGTTTCTAGGTATAGAGTGAAATCTCAAGGACTGGTTAGAATGCAACTGGGTGATATGTCATGCTACCTCGTCCATTTTGCGACATTTCATTGTGATAAAACTATAAAACCGCTACTCTATCAGTGGCCCCATAATCCCTGGACATCGCCACAAAAACACTCAAAAATAGATATGATGATCTTGATGACGGTTTTCTTTTTCATTTAATTTATCGAACAGTCATTGCCAAATGAATTTGGATGCATGATTGATCATCATTATCGATTATTACTAATAACAATACATTAATCAGTATTGAGTCACGATGCTGCTTCGGATTAGCGGATATTCAATGCAACATTCGGCTTTCATAGTGAAGTAAATGTCTTAAATCTAGAACGACGTATTATGTCTCCAATTTAGAGTTCAGTCTTCAGCTTTCTAATACTCGTTCCGTATCCGCCACTGGAAATGTATCGCTAATCTTTACATGCCTAGCATTGACGGAAATCAAGTGCCATTATTAACGGGACCGCCTGTTCTGATATGGAGGCAGGAATTATTACAATGGAGCATCATTACAGAAGATTAAGCACGCGGATCATGGTAGCACATTAATCTGACATTTATGAAAACGAGCCATCATCAATCACCATTGAGATGGGAGTGATACCGAATACGAATTTTAGGTCGTTATGAGAGAGAGTATTGAGAATTAATATTTCTGGTGGTTTTGAAATATAGATTTCTTTGTCATGAAAATTTTAAACCCCCAACTATCAGAATATAGACGTCAAGGCTATTTGGAAGCAAAATCTGTTCATCTATGGTCCCGGATGACACATTAAGCTAAAAGTCATATTTTTTTCGATGATACAACTAGCGTAGCCTATCGCAGATAATCTTATAAAAAACCAAGAAACCAAGAAAACACCGACGTGTTTAAAGAATATTATTTCAAACTCGAACTCGATGGAATCATGACAATATAAGAACAAAGGAAGGATATACATGAAGACTCCTAAAAAAGTAACGATATTTTGTTCGTTTATGACTAGCTGTGAATACACGGCAATACGATAGAATTATAAAACGAAGCCGTAGTTTCGTACAAAAATTAATAAATAGATAAATAAATAGATAAACCATTATCTCATATCTCTGAACCATTAACTCCTATAATAGGCTCGTGCAGTGGTGTCATGTACTCTTTTAAAGATAGAAACCTCTAATGTATATTCCTAGTTTGTATATAATTTATATATATTTTTAAGGTTAAAAACAAGAAAATACCAATATATCCACATTTTCATAATCCAAACTCAAATTTATGAAAACTAGGGGAAAACAGACAGAAGAAAAATAGACACGGAGACTCATGAAAAAGTACAAGGAGAATAAGACGAAATGTTCCGGAAGAGTAAGCGATTTCTGCTTCAAGCTATACAAGAAATGACGAGCATCAAACACGTTCAGCTTTATACTGCACAAAGAAAAAGAACATTTCTCAATGGCATCACTATGACTACCGTGAAACTTCTATATATTCTTTATCAACCTACACATGAAGGTTTCCGTGTGGTTAATTAGTATGGCGATTTCAGAGTGCCTTTAACATATTGCTAACTTTGCTGCATTCTTATTGGATAAATGAGATTTACAGTTATCATTGTTGAGCGTTATAACAAGGCTTTTGCAATCGATACTTAAAAACTGTATGAAAGTGATGATGTTTGATCCTTACAAAATGACACTGGAAGCCATGTTGTCGTTCTGTTTGGCTTCTTAACTTCGGGTTCACGGAGATTTCGCTATTTATAGATTTGTGATATCTTGAAATATTGTGAAAGAGCTTCATAATTACGTTATTTATATTATACCGTATTTCAAAAATACATTACAGCCTTTCCTCGATACGATTTTATTTCACATACCCAAAAGAAAGCTGTCACTTGTTCGTTTTCATTATATATCTTTAGAATCTATTTTAAGATTCTGAAACTCAATATATCATTCACCAATCATCCTTTGACTAGTATGCTTTTTATCTGTTCCCTAGAACCAGTTCAAAAAGAGGATAAGCTGTTTGGAGCGACTCCTTGCCGAAGAAAGGAAGAAAGTGGCGACAACTGAGAAAAAATTGGCGCTTGTCTCGACAGAAACCTTGTCGTCCGCCATGTCTGATGACGCAAAACTGCATGAAAGGGAGAAAGAACTCCTCCAATCTGAGGTAGGTTATGTAATAGATGGGAAGGTCAGAGCCAGCGGTATAAATCATCACAGTGACGTCATTACTTATTTTGATGTTAAGGGCGATGGTATCAGGAATTTGATCACGCCCAATGGTGTGCTGTATTTTCCAATCTATCTAAAAAAAACCACTAATATATTTACATTTATTATACAACTGTCGTCTGTTAGATCTCAAGACGGATTCTTCATCATTCCGAGTGAACAAACAGTGCAACAGCAGGGACCTTTATAACAATATATCTAGATTTTATGGTATCAGAAATAAAACACACATTTAATATGACGATATTCCCGTCAATTTTTTACTTGCTGCTTTCGAGAAAAGCCGAACAGCCTGTCTACCCCAAGGGTTTTCACCTTGGTCAATCATTGGTTGTTGTCGTTGTGTCCTAATCTTAGAAATGGTCTTGATGAAACGTCCAGCTGCGTTTTAAACACGCTGTTGGGTCATTCCATAATTAGCACACTTACAGCCATTAGACAACTCCATGGTGTAATGACTTAAGGATTATGTTAACAAAATAATGAATGAAACCGAAAACTTCCATTGACAAAGCAAACTACTAGATAGACAAAATAGTTTGCAGGAGGATGGTTTGACAAAAGACACAAGTGAATAACACATTTCAATACATAATTGTACACAAAAATCACGCAAGGTTTTGGATTGATTTTCTTTTAATTCATTCTTTACTCGACATAAACAACAGAGCAGTCGTGTCTGTGAAATGGCTCCACATATTGCTTAAAGTGTATAGTTACGTTGTATGTTGATGAATAGAACACAACGCTTAAAGGACAACGTACATATGTACCTCGAACCAAAAATCAATCCCGTTGTTTACACATGTCAATATGACACTTGATGATTTTGCTCTCGGTAATATAATTTGTAAGTCTAAATCAATCGCTCAGGAAGTTTGAGGGTTTGGTCTATCTATATTGTTTTATCGACCAAACACTCACGCATAGAAGACTAGTAGTAATATTAGAACGCGTGTTACTTTACAATGTCAATATTCAATAAAAGCTGCATTAATAATGCATTTTAAACTACACTGATACTTTGGTAATGTATCTCATCAATGTCCCATAAAGAGTTAGAATTACCTATAACGTGCGAGATAAGATATTTGTGTTCAAAGTTTTTGTCATTCATATTGATTGATGTCACAAGAATGCAATCCAAAGTCTATATTTTCACGTCTTACATATTTCTACAGCTCCAAACTTGATTTATGGTAGGGAAGTTATTGATCACCGACAATTTTATCCTTTAGAAAAACCGCCATTTTGATGCTGCACTATTGCTATCTCTGTAGCTACAATGATGACGTCATAATTGGCAAGCGATTACCGAATAAATATACACATAAACATGATGAGAAACAGATGTGATAAATTGATATTTTGGAGATTTTTTTATAAAAGGTCTGCTTCATTAGCAAATCGAATTGTTCTTTGCTGTTTACTCTCCATAACGTTTTATATTAAACACATATATATATGTAAATTTAAAGATAAAATTAATAAATAACTAAGCAAAGCAAAATTGACACAAACTTTTAAGTTTTAAGCTTCAGCTAAGTCGAAAGTAAAATGTAAGCCCCCGTAATTATCATAATGGTTTGGTTGCCGTACTACCTTGTCAAGGTTATGACATTTCAGTATGATAACACTATTAAAAACAGTTGTCAGTGGTCCCGTATTCCGTGAATATCGTCTATATTCGACTTCGGCAGTTTGAAAGTGGGGCCTAAAATAACCAGTATAGTTATCCAGGATACCATACGAACAGGCGAAGCGTATATGGGATCTCTATAACACTCTCTATGTATGCTTTTGCACGTGACGGATTTATGTACGGCATTCACCCAATTGCCAACACGTTGTCGAACTCCAAAATGCTTTAGATTAAATCGTTGGTTGTTGACTTATATCATGTTCCGGTTTCATTTTAAAAATAAATCATAGCGAAATATTACGTAGCACCGAAATGTACTACATTTTAGCGATACTACTTTGTAATTTGATAGCTTGTTAAAACTTCAAATAATTCTACAATTTCTGAGTGTAAGAGATAAAATCTGTGTTTATTGGTTTTAATCTTGTCTAGCGTAGTATTGCAATACACATCACGATTCGCATTTTTACACGTGTTATCTGGATATTCCGGCTACTTTTGTTGAAGTTGATATGCGGAAAAATTGTAAAAAGTTTCCTCTTTCCGAAATAATGTGTCTAATTGAAAAATTGTGAGTACATATCGAATACAGTTGGAATTTATAAATTCTGACAGTTAATACGGAAACGGAAATATATTATTAGTGTTTATAGACAGTGCTACATCACCTTTTGAATCTGCCATTTGAATACACAGTCGCAGAAACTGTTTTCATTTTCATGGCCTAGTATACCATTTAATCAAGTATAGACATATATAAATACTGAAATACTGAGCTGTATGAAAAAACATACAACTTATCAGAATGAAACCATGACATATGTTTTAATTTACCCTAAATAGAAGATTGAACACAAGACACACAAGTGTATAGCACATCTTTAATACAGATAGAGTTAAATACAGTAGCGCCAATTATAATCCATCCCTGTCGCTCTAGGACTCGTCAGTAATGTCAAGGTCCTAAATTCTGGAGCCTAGGTGGCGACTGAAAAACTCCGAAATGATCGGAGCATGTGAAAATCGAGATGAGCGATGCACTATCCCCGTGATAACTCCTTAATGATTTGTTCAACGCGCTTTAGTAGTTCCCATCTTTTTATGTAGGATGAAAAGCTGTAGGTATATTACTACCGGAAAACTACATAGACAAGCAATAGAAATAGATTTTTAAAAAAATGTCCTCTGTTTTCTGGATTGTAAAAACGTCCAGAAAAAAGACTGATTGAAATTGCAATATGCCAATTACTAAGTTTACAAATGACGACACAGAAATGACATTTTTTGTAAATTAACTATACAATCATCAACTGTACTGTAAACCAATCAGAATTAACCATATCCACTGGACTACAAAGATGGAGATAAAATTGTGACGTCATATCGCGAGACAAACCATTGTTGATAGAAATATTTGGCTATATCCCCATCCAGTGACATTTATACATTGTTCATGTTTTTCATGGTATGTATCTGTATAAGACATCTGCTAAGAGTATAGATGTGTTGTGTTTCTTCGTCATCATCATATTTCCCTAAAACAGGATCCCACTACACGCACGACTGTCATCAATGAAGTCTTACTGGGGCATCGATTCTTAATCACCTTATACGTCGTCATATCATTCTTTCATTTGTTGATGGGTTACCCTCGTTTTATCGATTTCGAGTTTCTAATTATTTTAACAAATCGGTATTCCGTCAGAGATTGTACTAAAGACAGACAAGTGAATAGCAATTGTCAATACAAATTCAGAATAATTAATGAAACTGCATCACACAGCTCTTTCGTCCTTCTAGATACTTATAAATGTTGCTGAAAAGCGTAAAAATAAAGTGATACTAGTTTATTTTCGCTGATGAAAAAAAAATCCGTTATGTTCATTCAACAAAGATTTAAATTAAGAAAATTTTACTCTGTGTTGAATTGCCCTCTTCTTTGTGGACGACAGCGACAGATTGAAAAATATACGTTAAACTAGTTTGCTTTTAACTGATGATATACATTTTTCATATCCTGTGATGAATAATTCATCACGACAGTTTTCTTCTTAACGTTTCGAATTGGCACATCAAAATAACTGTTATGTAGAAAATGAAAAGAAAACCCATAGTGCTTTTGAAAGGCTTTGTTCTGGCAATTTCTTAATTGAAGAAGCGAATATGAATAGGACAAGTTGTCAACCCTCTAACCAATGTGTCACTCCCTTTCTCAATTTCACTCAGTGGTAGTGTGTAGCGAATGTATTTTAATGTAAGAGGTGTCAGAAATATTTCTATACAGAAAAGAAATTCTGTCATGTTTCTCTTTGTTATGAATTCCTAATGTAGTTTTCGAGACAATAAGACTGAGAATGGCTGTCGATACCTCTAATGATATGGTAATGTTGTGCCTTTCCTTAATGTGGTCTCTCATTCGACTCTTCCTGTTTTCAATGTGTAATCGTTAACCATCATAACCCAGATGATACAATGTTGCTGGCATTCCCTATAACACTATCCTTAAAAAACAAGATAACGCTGACATGTCAAGTCGTAATCCCAACTTAAAATCGATAATATGAAGGTATAGTATGAAAGATTTACACGGAAAACATTTAAAATGGATAAGAGATGAACATGAATTCAGGAAAGGTAAACAGTTCAAAAATTTGCTTTATTTGATGAAAATAAAAATGAAAAGAATCGTTTATGAAGCAGACGACGCTTACCCTTCTGGAATACCAAATCTTCCTTGTACCTTTCCATTGCTTTCTGTCTTGATCTTTCGTTCACCGTTTTCCTCGTTTTATCGATTTCGGAATTACAATTTCGTTGACCTGTCATTCTTCTCTTGTTTTAAGTGATAATAATTGGCAGGACTGCCAGCTACCAAACCATCACCTATAAACTTCTTAATCACATGGTGTGTTAATGTCGATGTATCTTAATTTTCGTAGGTTCTGGACAGTAAGAAACTGTTAAGAATAGCCAGTGATCAGATAAAGGGTTTACGTGAACGAGTACTGACCTTGGAGGAGGAAAATAAGGTCTTGCAATCCAATCAAACAATGGTACGTATTGATACAAAATGGTCTGATATCTGATTAGTGTGTTAAGTTTAATTAATTAAATTAAGTCAATATTTTGATTTGAAACTTTATTTTGATGTGTTATATGGATAAAATCTCGCTGTTTCATTAACAAAAATAATGTGACGTCTTATTCATATCAAATCGATCATCAAATCCTGTATCAAGAAAAAACAACAGCTAATAGAACTGATAATTGAAAAAAACTAACAAACGAAAAGAAGCCGTATGTAAAACCAAGGAGAAAATCGTAAAAGTATAAAGCTGATTGCACTCCGTCGTTGTATCTATGTATTATGCAGTTCAATATTAGATTTGTAGTGAAAGTTGATGTTTGATGTACAAAATTGTTATGTGACAAAACATTAATTTTGTTTGTTTTAGACTGAAACAGATGACTCCGATTTAGACCAAACCCCATCCGGAAGTGTTGATACCGTCATAGAGCGACCAATCGGCGGTGTTGACTCTGCAGGGGCCAAGGCCAAAACTCCCTCGGTACGTCACTTTCGGTGATTCATGAAACGATATTGTGAACTTTCCCTTTCTTGGTCTGCCTGCTTTATGTCTTATGAATGGATCATAAAAAATTAAAGATCTGAACGTAGTTTGCATTAGGAATGGGATATATCTCTGAAGGATTAAATACAAAGAAAATAACTTTGTTCTCTGATAAATAGATTATATTTCTATCTACAACAAAGCGGAAACTTTCAAAAGTATTTATAGTTTCCAGTACTTATTCTTTATATAGTATATGCAACTGAAGTAGTCAACCGAAATGACTCAATATATTGCCAGTAGCACGCTAAGATATTGCGGAGATTCATTAGAGTTTCAAGAAATGCAAAAGAAAATATTATAATAGATTTGGTTAGTATTAATTGTTTTAGTTTCGAAAGCTTTTATTTTATATCCGGCAAAAAAATTTTAAAAATGGATGTAAAATATATCTGAACTCTGTGAGAGCTTTTTATATTTCAATTTTAGTTGTGTATCATGAGAATAAATGATTTCATGTTGGTGATATGTCAATTTCTGTTCATTTCAGCAAAGTGAGGCGGAAATAATAATTCTTGGAAATGAAGTTGAAGTCTATCATTCCAAGGTATTGGAGCTGGAGGCTCACCTTCAGGAGGTTAGTAATTATATCATTCCAAGGAATAAGAGCTCGAGGCTCACCTATAGGGGTGGGTAAACAACATCATTCAAAGATGTTAGAGATCGAGGCGCACCTTCAGCAGGTAAGTAATTGTATCATTCTAGGTGTTTAAACTCGAGGTTCACCTTCAGAAGGTAAGTAAACAGTATCACCCTAGGTGTTAAAACTCGAGATTCACCTTCAGGAGGAACATAATTTTCCCCCACCTCTGCCCATGTAGCATAGACATGTCCCATGTGGAACACCCATGGAGGATAAATCTATCCCACATGACTGCACTCGGTGACCTCAGTCGGCTCAACTGACTCAAACCGACGAGTGGATGCTTTGTTTGCAGGTTCCGTAATGCGCGACTGTAACATCACAGTTAACATTAACTATAACAATCTTTGTCCAGTGAACACATATAAACGTCGGAGGATCATCTATGACTCTGATTCTGAATGAACACACGCGTGACACTCACACCATTGCAATTTTTCGCGCGCATAAACAATTGACGTCATTATAAACTGGGAAATCCCCTTTTTGTCCATGACATCGCTGCAAGCCTACCCTACCTTAATAAAAGATACGTAGTTAAATGTTGTTCAATACAAGTATTTCCATGTATCTATCGCTAATTAAAATATTTAATTTCCAAAAAATAAATATTTCTAATGGTTATTCATATTGCGTTTGTAGTCTGTCATTTTGCTCTCGCGGAAGAATGTAGAATTTTGGAAACGTGAATGGTGATATTCATGCGCCATTCAGACACTTGTACCGTGGGATTTTTTTTTTTTTTTTTTTTACGTTGTGGCGGAAATAATGGGGTGGGAGAAAAATAATCAACCCCTACCGTCAGAGGATGTGACAGAGAAATATCCAACCCTCGGGGTGATTTTTTTTTTGTAGTCTAACCCGAGGCTCACAACAACAAAAATCACCCCTCGGGTTGGAGATTTCTCTATCACACCCTCAGGGTAGGGGAAGATTCTATTAATATCATTCCAAGGAATTAGAGCTCGAGGTTCACCTTCAGGAGGTAAGTAAACTATATCATCTTAGGTGTTAAAACTCTAAGTTAACCATCAGGATGACAGTAAACTGTATCATTATAGTTGTTAGAACTCGGGGTTCACCTCCAGGAGGTAAGTAAACTGTATCCTCTTAGGTGTTAGAACTCGAGGCTCACATTTAGGAGGTAAGTAAACTGTATCCTCTTAGGTGTTAGAACTCGAGGCTCACATTTAGGAGGTAAGTAAACTGTATCCTCTTAGGTGTTAGAACTCGAGGCTCACCTTTAGGAGGTAAGTAAACTGTATCATCCTAGGTGTTAAAACTCGAGGTTCACCTTTAGGAGGTAAGTAAACTCCGTCTTTCCTAGGTGTTAGACTCGAGGCTCACCTTTAGGAGGTAAGTAAACTGTATCATCCTAGGTGTTAAAACTCGAAGTTCACCATCAGGAGGACAGTAAACTGCATCATCATAGGTGTTAGAACTCGGGGTTCACCTCCAGGAGGTAAGTAAACTGTATTATCATAGGTGTTAAAACTCGAAGTTCACCATCAGGAGGACAGTAAACTGTATCATCCTAGGTGTTAAAACTCGAGGTTCACCTTTAGGAGGTAAGTAAACTGCATCATCCTAGGTGTTAAAACTCGAAGTTCACCATCAGGAGGACAGTAAACTATATCATCCTAGGTGTTAAAACTCGAAGTTAACCATCAGGAGGACAGTAAACTGTATCATCCTAGGTGTTAAAACTCGAAGTTAACCATCAGGAGGACAGTAAACTGTATCATCCTAGGTGTTAGACTCGAGGCTCACATTTAGGAGGTAAGTAAACTGTATCATCCTAGGTGTTAAAACTCGAGGTTCACCTTTAGGAGGTAAGTAAACTCCGTCTTTCCTAGGTGTTAGACTCGAGGCTCACATTTAGGAGGTAAGTAAACTGTATCATCCTAGGTGTTAAAATTCGAGGTTCTCCTTTAGGAGGTAAGTAAACTCCGTCTTTCCTAGGTGGTAGACTCGAGGCTCACCTTTAGGAGGTAAGTAAACTGCATCATCCTAGGTGTTAAAACTCGAAGTTCACCATCAGGAGGACAGTAAACTATATCATCCTAGGTGTTAAAACTCGAAGTTAACCATCAGGAGGACAGTAAACTGTATCATCCTAGGTGTTAAAACTATATTATTTCAAGATGTTAGAACTCGAGGTTCCCCTACAGGAAGTAAATCAATTATGTTATTCCTAGGTGTTAGAGCTCGAGGCTCACAGAAGGTAAGTAAATTTTATCAGTATTGTAGAGATAAGTAGGTTGGACAAAGGGCTCAGTCATAATGTTTTTATCAACTAGGTCATGCCAGAGACTTGAAGCGTAAATCTAGTTGTATTTCTTATTTACTTACGGCAAACTAGCAATGAAATCAAGGATTTTCTTATACAAATACTGACTTATGTATACACTGAAGTATACAATAATGGTCTCTTGTTTTATTGCAGGTGAACGAATATTGGCAAAATCAAATTACAATTAGAGATAAAGAAAAGGAAACATTTTTAAAGGAAGCAAAACAGATGACTGAGGACTGTGATGCTTTGAAAGAATCCATTTCAAAACTGAAAGAGGAAGATACTCGGAAAGAGAAACTTCTCAAAGGACTGGAAACTATGGTCCAAGATAAGGTCAGTGTTGTTTTTCGGAAGGAGGAAATATTACAGGAACACGAGGAAATTATACGGCAACGGGAGGAAGACATGCAATCCATGCTTGATCAAATCTCGCAAAAGGACGAGGAACTCCGTGAACTTCGCGAGGGTTTGCGCACGAGGGATGAACGTTTACGCGAGAAGGATGTTGTCTTGGAGACTGTTAATACAAATGTGACGGATAAAGAACGTGAGATTAATTATTTTAATGATGAATTGACGGAATTGCAGGGAACACTAGATAAAAAGGACAAAGAAATTTCAGTTTTGGAAGAAAGAATATCAGAAATAGGTAGTGTTACCCAGTCAGATATACAAACCGAAAATATTAGGCTTAAACGTGATCTTGACAGTTTGGCTACAAATTTAGGTAAACTTCACACGGATAACAGTACCTTACAATCCGAATTAGAAAAGGCGAAACAAGCCTTAAGTGAGGCGATGGTTTTATGGAATAAAGATAGGTCTAATTTAGAGGCAGAATTAAATGTAGTTCGTGAAAAGTTACACATGTATCAGAGTTCTTTAGACAAAAACGAGCCACAGGTTGTAGCTACGTTAAGAAAAGAGGCGCATAGAATTTTAGAACAAAAAGAGAAAATTACGGGAGAATATAGAGTGCTACGGGTCGAGAATGATGCTAATATACGAACATTGAAAAATGAAAAGTACAAACTTCAGGAGGAGTTAACACAAAAAATTAGGCAACTCACAGCAGAAATGGCTACAAACGACAAAAATTCTCAGGAACTAGATCGTCTAAGAGCGCAGGTATGTCCGGCCCCTGAGAAAGTGAGAGAAAAGGGGCGTATTGATATTATTATCTGTCCGTCGAGCATGAGAAATTATTTTTAGTTTTAGGAGGAATGCAAAGATAAATAAAACGCATGTTTGTAGTATGTAAATCTGTTAGAGTTTATTGCGGGTTTTTTATTCTTAAATTTATCAGTTAGGACAAACGATTCATGTGCTTTGCACACTAAACCAAGCTACTGAATATACTTCATTCTTGTTTTTTCTTTGACGTGTTCTTTTTCCTTTTTTCTTTATCAGCATGTGTGTTGTAATTAACTTACACGAATCTTGAATAGTCAGTTTCATGATACCAGATTGAAGTTAATCAATATCCGTTAAGAGATAATCATAAATTTCAACTAAAATTACCTTACTTATTTGCTTATTATCTCTTGATCACTGCAGGTGAACATGTGGGTACCCCTATTGTTGGTATAACTAGTAACCTATGTGATCTGTACATTTTAGAAAAGTCATACAGAAACTTCATATCTTAGGAAATGAATTGAAAGAAGTTGCATCATGTAGCGATCATTGCAAATGATTAAGATTTTTTTCTTTCATAATTTTGACCCCGGGAAAGCACTTCCCCGGAGCTCGTTCAAATAAGATATCAAATTAGGTCAGTGTATTGTATGTGTAACGGAACAAACGGGAACCAAAATCTCAGTTTTTGGAGAGAAAGTTGTTTTGTTATTGAATGCAGAAGAGTAATGAGAGGATTCGTGTATCTAGAATAGGTTGCCATAAAAATTCTATTCTTTGGAATATGTACCTTATAGAAAAGAAATAACAAATATTGTTAACCATTCAACATAAATGCTGATAGAGAAAATTCCATAATCATTTAAATCATTTTTGTTCATCATCATGAGAAATCAATGGTCTATATAAACTCGTAAAACAGAAAATCAGAATTTGTGGCACAACAATTACTGACATGAGGTCTAATATCTTTACACGGCAGGGTGGTTGGTATGAACAAAAACACCTCATTCGCGTCACTTCAGTAATAACCAAAACACGTGGGATGTTCATGATACAAATCAGGACGTTTCACGATTGTTTGACGCCACGTTTTTTAAGAATGCTGGTTTCAGATATTGAGATAGAGTTTTGTACCTCGCTACAATTAAAATATTTAGGTCAAATACGCTATGAAATGCAGATTCATTTCAAAATTGTCCGACGGCAAAGAGCACGCTGGGTTACTTTAATGACCTATTTGTCTTACCACGTGAATTGCATATCTAAAACAGAACTAGATATCCTGATATGTAATGGACTATAGAGTAATGTGCATGGGTGGTATAGTAAAATGTAAGAATTACGATTTACCTCAGTTTAACGTTCTCTATGGTATAGTTATGGTGAGGTCGGTAAAAATACAAAGTATCATTACCCTTCTTTTGGATTTTATACTTCCTGTCCTACTCAAAATTGTCTGAAATTCGGTATAACTACCCTCAGCACAACACTGTTTAAATAACGCAACTCTGCAGTCAAAAACTCGAGAAAAATTATTACGTAACATTTTCATCTGCAGACCCTTCTGGAGAACTGACTAACTATTATATGCCAAGTGTCAAAACGAAACCGTCAGATAAAAAACATAACTTTGGAACAGCGTTTATACCCCGAAGCATGTTGAAATAGACACTTAAACATTGCCACTTTGTTAAGGTAATCAGGTTATGAGATAATAACTCAATTTGGCTGAAATGATATATTACTTGTTGTGTTTTTACACCGAACGGTAAAGATAATAATACCATTGTTTAAAGTGTCGTTAGCTTAACAAAATACCGAATCAAAATATTTCTTATGTAAATGTTCATCAAGTTTCACGATTTACAAAAGATTTTTATTTATCATTTGATACTTTCACCTAATTTTTGTAACGAATTTAGTTATATTTTCCTGTTCTGTAACAAATTAAGTGTTATCATTCAGTTCTCCTATGAGGTTGTAAGTTTTGAACGCTCAATCTTCGAGAGGTATATATTTACAGATAACAGGCATACGCTGTTTTAAATTACTGTGATTCTCATGTTATTTTTTGTTCCAATTTAAAAAAAAAAGATAATAAATATCAAAACCTATCAACGTTCTATAAGTAACTTCTTAATAATATGAAATGTCAGTTTCAACATTATTGCAGAAATTCTAATTTTCCTTTTTCTCAAAGGGAAAGGAAGGACGCCTTTCCTCCATATTCTTAAATCATATCGTGTTTTGTCTCTTTAAGGTGCTTAAGGTGATACAAAGAGGGTAAAAAAGCAAAAAGAAAAGCTGTTCTTAAATACTGCACGGTAACATTTTCGGACAAAAAAGTTTTTAAAATAAGCATATCGTCCAATCCGAGCCAGGAAAAATTTCAGTACACCAATTACAGGCAACCGGCACGCTAATTAGTCAATCAGGAGAGCCAGTCTCTTGGCTTTAAAATCATTCTCAGAATTTCGAAGCAAAATTACACTTAAAACTACATATCCTACTTCGATATGTATGTACACCGAAATTAATGTGATGTGAAAAAATCCTACTTACCAGGGGACTTTGGTGTAACCTATTGCACGTCTTTGTCAAGAATCTATGGCAGGGTTCACAAATTTTATAGCAGAACCTCCCCCCAAATATCTTCAAACTCTCTGTGAGAGAGATTCATCCATCTTCATTGGATGAGAAAGATATATATCTGTGTAGACCAGACGTTTGTCTTCTTAATCTTTATAGTTGATAGATCAATTGTGTGTCATTTGAACCACACTCTTTACGATTGTAGATGGTAGAATAAGATATTGGTCTTCAGTCTCACTGTATATGCTACGTTTCAATTCACATGAATAGTGGTACGTTACAGAATATACACCTGTACTTAATGTTATCAAATTAACCAATACTTACGATAAAGAAATTCATTGAACAATGAGGTTAGTGCACGCCCCCATTTTCAATTAAATCATGGATTTCGGCCATTGTTTTATTTTGCTTGGTCACTTCCTAACAATTTGTACTTCTAGCGCCACTGAAGGTTTCTAGATTGACGAAACTATTCTGTAGTATATTTTAATTCATTGTTTTGCTATGCCGTTGTCACAAGTTCTAAATTGTATCGAAAATGCTATGTACTAGTGTCTATTGTACAATATGTTATAAAACATATAATACACGTATAGAACATGCTGATGTCATTATATTCACATTTGCAAGGCAATTCCATTGTATAAATTAACCACAAAAATATGTGATTAATGATACAATGAAGGCCATCCACCACGTGACCATTATGGTGTCAATATGTCAAAATAGTTATTCCACTTACACTTTCATTAACACTGTCGACATTTCATCATTGATTTTAAATTAAATTAAGTTACAATCGAAACATTGATAGTAAATGTAAGTGTAAGCATTGAAATTTAGGGTTATCACCATCCGTGCAAATTCTAACTAAACCGCATTCTCTACTACTATGTATGATGGTAATTTGTCACACAGTATAAGAAACATTACATATAGCAGTGTTTAGAACAACATAAGATAAGTGTATGCATGCCTCCTAAAAGAAAAATAATTTACTAACAGAAACATCTTAGAAATAGCTTCCGACTACTTTGAGGAAATTCATCGATTTATCTGTTAAAGGGCCTAATCACAATATATCTGCATAAATATTGATGCTTACACCTGAAATTGAAATGTTGAGGGGTTGGGGGGGTGTGATGATGGGGAGGGGGTTGGAATACAAAATTGATATATACAAGCTATCAGGTATTCTGCACACTAAAACCTTAACAATGAATTGCCGGAGTTATTGATAACAGGTTTTAATATTCACTTTAACAATTTAGTAATGGGTTTCATAAACTCATGTTCACAACACAAAGTTATTTATTCATTCAATTTACGAAGTTATGTATTACACTTTAATAATGATTTTACAGTTCACGGGCTTGTTTTCCAATTTTCGACAAAGTTAATGTAAAGAAATTTTGTTAATTACTTTTACACATTTATAATAGTTAACTGCTCATTAGCATATTATTACTTTGCCTCAATAATTACAACTTCCGACTACTTAATTGCTTTACCATTATATTAATGTGCATTCTGCTACATAAAATATATTAATGTGCATTTTGCCTTATAAGATATATTAATTTTCATTCTGCTACATGAAATACGTTAATGTGCATTCAGCTTTATAAAACGTCACAGTTTGTGTATCATTGTGATAATTTAACGATGTCATTTCGAAGAGAAACTTATTGTTTAATCTAGCTTAGACAGTCATTCAGCTTAACCAGCAACTGAAAATGGCATTATATCTTATGTTAGACGAGGAAAGGCGGGTTAGAAGCATGCATGGTTTTTTTATCCTTTTATTCAATATGTAAGCACCATAATAGTTTACAGTAGTAACTTCTGTTCTAGATCACAAGTTTATTTATGTTTAGGAGAGTGAGATGGTATGAATTTAAATGTTATGACAGATTCGTAGGAAGGTGATGACGACGTTATACGTGTCGATCGGGGAAACCGTGCAAATTTCATTTTCACTGACAGTATGACGAGTGTGCGCTGTTAAATATTCATAGTCAGTATTTCCAAAAGATATTTGGATCAGAAGAACTTCTGTTATAAGATATCTAATAATTTCTCCTATAAAGTCTATGTTTTTATCTATTTTGAAAGAAAATGTTGATTTGGGGGGAGGAGTTAGCATGTGAACATAACGACTAAAATTACTGTCATATCTATAGCAACACCGCTGAGAATTATCATGGAGTTAACGTTGTAAATAAATATCAACTCAAAATTGATTTTTTTTTATACAACTTTAAGTAATAAATATATATAATAACTCAGCCATACTAAGTCATTAACAATTTATCTTATACTGATCAATAACAGTGGAGCATTAATCAATTTGAATGCAGCTTGAAATGGGTTCAAGGGAGACAACACTGGCATATGTCGGTTTCTCATTTCATATCGTACATTTACTTATCAACGTCACTACTTTTTTGTTATTATTCATATATATGTATATACATGTATGTATTTTTTACTGAAAATGTGCATTCTTCAAAACAAGATATATGCAATAGAGCTGATTTTGATAAATTTCAAAAAAGGTCATCGTTCCTTTCACTTTGAAAATACAAAGTTGGCCGTATGTTTGTCTGAACCAGGTCAGGACTATGCATCTGTTGTGAGGTGTATAGAGATTCGTGAAAAGGTGACGTTCATGATCTCTTACGCCAGATCATTTATGTTTACTCTCTGCTTTCAGCTCAATTGCATTTTCTAGTTTTGTAAAAGTTCCATTGTCAGATATTAAACGGTAACAAAATGATTTCGTTTTTTGTTTTCGGTAATTTCAAATAGATGTAATAAAATTGCGAAATATATGTACCTAAAATAGATATCCTGAAATTAAAAGTAATTAAGAAATAAGTTTCTGTTGAAAATTTGAACTAACAGCCTTTACAATAAATGTTCCCTTCTTTGACTATTTTCAGGAGGATATAGCTTACCAGATTCAGCACCATGAGAAAGTTCTGAGAGCCGAATACCTGGCTATGAAGGTCCGTTACGAGACCAGGCTGGAAAACCTTCAGAAAGAACACATGAAACTTCTTGCCCTGGTAGACACGCTGCATAGAGAGAAGACCTTAGACAAGGAAATCATCCGAGGGGTTCAGAAAGGCATGACTCAAATGAAAGTCACCTACGCCAAGGATCTGACGAAATGGAACGAAGAAAAGGATATCCTTGCAAGGCACATGAAAGAGGTAGGCAATTTCGCTTTGTTGTCTTGAGTTGCCATAAATATACAATTTTTTCTCTGTGCTCTGAATCAAATGTCATGCATTTCATATAATAAATACTTATTGGGCGTGTATTGATTACTTGTCTGTATAGAACTTTAGATATGAAACAATGATGAAACATTTTGCAAATAGACTACTACTTACTATTTTCCTTGCGCTGTTAAGATTGAAGAGGGTCGTAAGCTGGCTAAGGATCTACAGGATAAAATTGAAGAATTGAAAAACCAGCTTGCTGACCAGGAATATGAGAGGGCAGAACTGGTCAACCGGATAACTACAGAACGGTCTGGCTGGGATGTGGAAAAGGCCAACATGCAGAGCAAGGTCAATCAGGTACGAAACATGCCATTGGTCATTGTTACAACGATTGTCATTGTCAATTCATTATGTTATTTTATATATAATTGTAAAACAATATTTCAAAAGTCTTACAGATAGAATTGAAAACGATATTGCTTCCATTGGCATGCATTTTTTATCATATTGATTTCAATTTTTCTGACTCGTCTTGTAGATTTTATGTCAATGAATGACAAGTCCTAGAATATCAGAACAGTTTTGGATTATTACATGTAACTAAATTCATATTGAAATATGTTTCCTACTTGTGTGCCTTGTACACATCAATATCAAAACCATATTTATAGATATTATTGATAGAATACATCAAACCAGCCTGCAGTATGGACATAACAATCACAAAACAAACACACTAATTTTCGGAAACTGTTATCACTACATGTATGAGCATCTGATTAGTATTTTGTTATCAACATCTTGTAGCTACAAGAGCAGTTAGCTATGATATCCCAGGCCCAGAATAGAACCAAAAACATGCAAAACCGCATGGAGGTGGCATGGGAACAGGAGAGGTCCGAACAGAAGCGACTCTTAGCCGAGGCTCACGCACTCGCTCTAGACCTTCAGAGCCAGTTGAAGGCGCGCGATGAAGAATACGTTAAAGAAAGAAAGATGTTGATTGAACAACTTCGACGGATGCGCACAGAGATAGACGAAGAGCAACTCAGTCGTGATACTCGCCAGAAAGAGGTCTGGTCATTAAGATACTTTCCCGCCAAATTGCTTTTAGTTAACCATTATACTTTTAAGCTAGTTAGTATATTTGTAATTATCTGATTCATTTATGATTTCTTTAAGAATTTTTTCTTTATCCTTTAAAAGTTTTATGACAAAACAATAAACCCTTAAGTCGTTCCTAGGCAATGCATACTGGTTATTAGTATAAAATCTTCCTTCCCTTTCAGTCTGATCATTTACGCCAAATAAACACTATTTTTATCAGTTAACATTCCGTTAACATAGGCCCTCGAACCATGCCGTTTTTGCCGTTAACAACTTTAAGAAAGACGAAATAGTTTTTTTATTTGATTAAAGCAAGAATTCTTCTATATTTATTTGTTTATTTATTCTTAATTAATTTTCTAGTGCGGTCAGTTTAGTTTTTATCTTTTATTGTCCCAGATTGACGATCGTGGGTTACGAATATCGGAACTGGAGAGGAGGGTGGAGGAGGTAGGAGAAAGAGCAGCAAAGGAGCAGGAGGCGTCGGTAAAAGATAGGGCGGATCTGGTCCGGAGACTAGGAGAGATGAGAAAACAGCACAAAAGGGATCAGAGAAGGGTCGAAGACGTCCTCACAGGGGTAAGGTCAACAATATATGGTAATCAGAAGTTTTGTTTTTCTTAAAACGAAACGAATACTATCTTATTTCGTAAATTGGTTAACTCCACAGGGTGAGATAAGGATTGTACAAAAGTCACACAAGTGAAGGGCACCTTTTAATACAAATTTAAAGTTAGACACAGTAGAGCCAACCAATGAATGGAACTTGATCATACAACTTTTCGTCCTTCTTGAACTCGTCAGTGATGCTGTGAGCCTAAATTTTGAAGCCGGGGAAGCAACAGAGGAAAATCCATTGTGATCGAAAGAAAAGTAAAAATAACTATGACGTCTCCTTAACATCGAAAGGAATGAGATTGTCATTCTGTATATTGTTCATCAATCATTGAATGAATATTACTTTTTTTGTCATATACGACGCAGTTTATTCTTATTGCTAAAATGATGAAGAGTCTTGCGAAATTCGTCACTTATTTGGTGGCCTTTGCTATCTTAACGTACCTTCCGTTATTTACCACGAGATCTGTATCATAATAATGAATGCCTTTTATGTCTGTCCAGTTAACGAGACTGAAGGAGCTAGCTGCGATAGTTTCGGACTCTGAAAAAGAAGATCAAACCTCAGATTCTGTGTTAGTCTCACGGCTGGAGAAACTAAGTAAAGGTCCACTTCCGGAACTGGACATCAACTTAGGAGATCCGGCACAGATGTCTCCACGGAAATCGATCAGACAACGTATTGATCAGGTCATATCAAAAGAGACATTGTATTGTCTTATTCATTTAATGTTCCTTGTTGATAAATATTTAACAACTTTAAAGCCACATTGTCCCTTTATGTTCCTTCTAGGAGTATCATTTCTATGAAATTATTAAAGTAATTTCACGTACACAGTTGATTTCCATGTACCTACCAAACCAAGGGATGTAAATTGTGTACTACACCAGTCAACAGGACAATATGTCTCCCAAAACCGTGTAAATTGAACATCGCGATTTTAAGGGCTGTTCAGTAATTATTCACATTTCATATTAATGGTTCGATATCGACCCAATAAACCAAACTTATTTCAAGAGGAACGAGGAATTATTTTCACTATTTTAAAGTCTGTTATTCGTTAAGAATTTTTTTCGACAAAGACAATTTATCTTGGTGTTATGCTGCAACCATATCCACTAGATAACGATATAGCGGCAGTGTGTGTTTCGTTAACACTTATATACTCATTTATTCTCGAACCCTTAGTGTCGAACTCGACATAGTGAACATTTATATAGATTGTAATTTCATGTATATTTTTTTTTAATTTCAGGTCGTTTTAAAACATATTAAAGAGGTAAATATTCATTTGTAGTTTCGTTAATTCTTATAAAACTGACATTTTTTCTCTCTTTTTTTTGTATCCTACTTATTCTTCGCCAATTAATATCAAACATCGACCGCGAGAACATTCATCTAGGAAGTATTTTTCAGATACTCAAATATCATCAGCTAATGTTTACAAAAATGCATGTGTTTATTTTGTACGAATTTGGTTTTAAATGAACATACATCTAGACATTATACTACAAACAACAGCCACGATATCGAAAAAATCTTATACCCATTTATATACTGAATTAATCTTAAACGAAATAAGGTGACTGGTATTCTGCACTCTATAGTCAATATCAAGGGATATTTTGTTTGACAATAGGAAGAATGACTTATTGTAATATAAACTTATGATCGTCCATTTCAGTCTCTGAAGGAGATTCATTTCGCCGTGGAGGACATCGGAAGGCCTCGTGAGATATCAGAGGAGGAGCGCAAGAAACTAAGAAGGTTAATTTCATTAATGGGAATGATTTTGTAGACGTGTATTTGTTAGTTTCATTTTTAATTGACTGGGTTTTAATTTTAGATTTAAAAAATAATTTCAACAATTCAATGTCTATATCTTAATTACGCACATCAACAAATAGGATGGAAAGCAGTTTACATATGTGACATTTAGTAATATCGTATCCTGTAATTCATTTCGTTGAGCAGAATATAGTATGATGTTGTTTTTAACCTTGCCAAATTTTATTTCATTGTGATGTATAGCCAAACCTGGTTATCTCGAACTCGTATAACTCGGAAACCCCGTTTGATTCGGAGCATTTCGACGGTCCCTGGGTAACTTTACACAAAACAATCGAACTCACTGAAACCGAATACTCGAATATCTCGAGGTTTCCCAATGGTCCTGTCGAGTTCGAGATAACAAGGTTCGACAGTATATGGATAATATATAACGTAACAGGGGAAAGATCTACAAATCAAATTGGATTCAGAAACAAATTAATTACGTAGACTACAGTTGTGGACTGCACCGTGTAACTAGATTTTTTAAATTTAATACGCGATACATTTTCTGTTGCAGAAGTTTGTCGAGCTCCGAAATTGACTTCCTGAAGGAAGACTTTTCAGCGGGCAGACAACGGGATTCTGCAAAATTCGACTCGCCAAAAGCATCGCCACTAACAATTCAAACGGACACATCTTCACCGAGATTTCTTAGGAGTATTACCCATAACGGATCTGGAGACATACTCGATCGTCCTGCTTGTGATCTTCTACCGGAAATACAACCCATTTCGTCACTTCCGTTACGACAAAAATTGATAATGGCGGACGTGCATTATGAACAAAGTGTCACAACGAAGTTTCCCGACCCCCCACCTAGTTTTCTGCTATCTCCAAAATCACACTCCCGACAGACACTAACAGACACGTCTTATTCAGTTAATTCCCCAAGGGGTATATCCTTAGTTACTGATACTAAAACAAGACTCGTTCCTACTAGTATATCACTTGATACCAGCGGGACGAGTTCACTACAAACCAGTCCTCAGAGTAAACTTTATACAAAGTCTCTTTCAGCTGGTGGATCTCCCACCTACGAATCGGCAAGCCTTCTTCCTTCCATTCCAGTAATGCACAGCACTGTGTCCTCTGATACTACACCTTCCCCTCGTTCCGGAAATTCGTCCAATTCCGGAAGTTATGAACGCCTTACACCTAGATCTGCAAGAAGAAAGTTTTTTGAAGATAAAAGTGATTTGCCATCACCTTCGCCGATGTCGGAAAGAAGTCAGAGTTGTGAAGGTATCGAAGAGGATGCAGTTCCAGCGAAGCCACCACCTGTTGAAAATAAGCGCATACGCCTTCAACACTACGAATCTGAAGAGGATGTTATAGGGCAATTAATAGAGGAAACAAAACCACGAACACTGACGCAGTCAATATCTGTCGATGAAAAGTCGACACGTTCAGTAACAAAAGCCTCGAGTACTGAGAGTAAGAAAAGTAAACCAGAAAAACCAAAGCGAAAAATAATACGACGCTCTCAAAGTGTTGATAGTTCTGTAAAAAATTCTGTAGCAAAGGCAGGAATTACTGCGATGTCACCTGGGGCGCCCTCAAATACTAGAGCCGTTGAACTTTTCGCAACAATGAAGAGAAAAATTAAAAATACTCTGAAAAGGTCTTCATCAATGACTGATGAAGAAAAGTCAACGGAAAAACAAGGCCCTAGTTCTGAGGCTAGCGGGTCTGTTGTGACGTCACCAGGGGTTGGGGTTCACACGGCAAGTGGACAGAAACCGTCAGGCATGATGTATAGACCATCCACAAGTGTACAAAAACCGGTAACAGGTGTACAGAAAAGTACTTCGTCTCCTCAACATGTATCTCAAAATGTACCTCCACCAACGCCACCTATTTCCGCTATGAACAGACGCGCACTTCCGGAGGTAAGAAGGGACGCCGTGTAGTTTGTAGAATGCTGTGTAGATGTAGTCTGTGTTAATGTGTTTCGTCGACTTGTCACCTGATGTTGGGAAAAAAACTCACAACTCTAACAACTAACACTGGGCTAACGCACCGAACTAATATTGATAATGAAACAAACGGTGATATCAAACTTTGACACATTTTATTTTTCAGATGGACGATGATGCGTTAGCTAATGGAAGGAAACGGATTCCGGAAAAAAGTTCCGAAAACAAACAGACTACAAAACGTTTAAGATCGAAATCTGCTGAACGCGCAACACGAGGGCCATCTGCCCTGAAACAACAGGTGATACTGGAGGAAGACTTGCTGCCAGACAGATCAAAAGTATTTAGTGAAACGACAGTGTGATTTCATGTGTTTACATCAACAGGGACAAAAATGATGCATTTGTGTAAAATGATATATGATTTTTGATGCTAAGCTTCTTCAGGTCTATCTGAAGATATAAACAAAAATGATGCCTGACATGTCAATTTAACGCTTGATAACCTATAACGCATTATAGTTACTGTAAACATTTTAATATAAGCGAATGCACATTTTTGCGTAATCGATAGAATCGCATATTAGCCTATCGACTATTTACTTCATTTTGCCTTTTAAAACCACAACATTGTTCTCTTTCCTTGTGGCATTGAAAGAAAGCTAAATGATAAAATCATCCCATCCAAAGTAAGAAAGTAGTGCATATAGAGACTCTTTTCAATTCTGTAATTTTTAAAATTCATTTACGAAAGAATTTTGATAACATATTGATAAATCATTATTCAATGAATTATTTTTCATTTGCATCAATAAAGAACTGAACCTTCAATGAAACATGAAATCTAAAGCCCACTCCTTTGAAATAAGAAATGATAGTTTGCTGTATGAACATAAGACAATACTCAGTATATTATACGAAATCTGTCTTATCAATCAGTGCCAAATGCGTAACACGAAACAGAGCATAATTAACCTTCAGTCATTTGCATGATAAAGTCTTTCAGAGACGATGAAAATTATATGTAACAAAGGTCGTTATTAATTTCAATACCTATCCTAGAATTCGTACCCAGGACCTCTGGATTACTAGCCTACCGCTCAGCCGATCGAGCAAACGGAACGGTATATATCAGCTGGTATTTATTATGGTTACATATGAATTCTGTCAAATGTAAGTGTGACGTAACACAGAACACAATCTTAAATCATTTGTTAATTTAAAAGTAAGTTATTTCGATGAAGAAATTTACATATAAATTCTAATTTTTGATAATTCTTAGAATTGTTTTCGGATATTATTGCGAGGGTTCTTAAAACGCTACAGGATGATTTAAAGAGCTTATTTGCTCTCAGTTATATTACTGATTTATAGCTCATGCAAGTTAAAAAAAACTCAAAGTGCTTGCGATGGTTAATACACATTAAATGCTTGCGTCATTTTCTGCATATTCTTCAGAGGAATTGTCACCTAGGTATTAATCAACACATCAAAAATTGATGACGTCATCATTTGTTGATGTTGCCTGTAAATAGTGCGGATTGTGTTCTGCAAGGTATTGTTATGTTGATATAGTTATACGAGTTTTAAGGTTGCTTCGTCGTAGTTATATATGCTTTAGTTAAATTATCACCACCTATGTTTTATATTTGTCACAGAATTAATTTATTTCTATAATTTTAGTTTTCAAGTTGTAGCACAGAATTTGAGAAACTTTATCACTAAACTTTAAAAAATTGTTGATCTTGAACTGTTTCTTATATTCGCTTAGAAGACCCCAGATCAAATATATTTTTCGTTTTTATTCTGTTTGAAATAAGTTTTATGAATTCCTCAAATTATCATTCATTTAAGAACAAATTTGTTCTTGGAAGCGACATGAACATTTCATTATCTATTTGTTTTTACTAAAAGTACATCAGTAAAGGCGTACACATAATACAATGGTCAAAATGTTGCCGACAAAATTGAACAATGTATGCAGATTGCTTTGTTTTGTTTATTATATAAAGCTTAAGATAATTTCTCAGTGCTTTCATCCTATTTTGCCATTAACCTCGAGATCCACGATACCGTGGCATAATGAGAGAATTGATAACAAATTAGAAAGATGACTTTACAGCATATTAATATTTTAAAATATTGTTATATTAGCTTCCGTTTTACGAGAAAAAAATTATATATCTTTCATTAAAAAAATAATTACGTTTTCCTGTTGTCTGCACATGGCATTTTGTCTTTTGTTGATCTCGGATTAAAATATTTGAACATCTATATATACGAGTCTGTTTTTATCTGTTTTAAATGTTGCTTTCATCTTTCTCTTGTTAACTTTCCTTTGCTCAGAAGTGACATTCCACCTTCCCTCACATTTCACAAATTATTTGTATCTCATTCATTCACTTGTTACGCTCGTCCTCAGTAATTATCTAATCAGGTATATATTATTTCGTTCCTGTGGCGTAAATTTTCCTTTTAGATATGTACAGTAAGTATTGTAATGTGATTTCTAACCATAGATCTTACAATAATCGTTATAATTAAAGACCTTCGTTTTGACCATTTGAAATGAAATGACCTTCGTTTGACCATTTGAAATGAATTACTTTCCTAGATTTGATAGGATAAACATATATAACCGACACGTCATTGACTTTTCTACTTCAACACAGTGTAATATATGTGTGTATATATTACATATATTTCTATGAACCATTAATGGATAGTTCCCGTTTTGTGTTTTAGTTTGTCGGTATTTCCGTACCGTACGTCCATGTTGGTTCTTTGTTTAGACGTGCCTTTGCCAATTCCGGAATAAAATGTCAAATTGAAGAATATTGGATTTTTCTCACAATTCCTTCTTTTTATTTTTATTTGATTCGAATAATGAACTATCCAACGGGCTTTGGTAATTCCTTGATTTAAAAAAAAAGTTTTCACCCTTTTTGAACTTACAATAATACATTCTAGCTATTTTCCTTAACGATAACAGAAACTTAAGAACAATAGGTATTCAAAATTGAACAAAACGTTGAGCGAAAAAATTAAGATCCAGAATGCATATCGCTCCGTGACAAGCTCTGCCAATCTAATCCTTTCGTTTTACTAGAAACTCATTCCAGTTCAAACAGCTACGAAGCGACAATATAACGAATGTATTACCAGTACATGATCTATTCTAGTTCGCTACACGTCTGCCAACAAACCATAAATAAAATAGATATTTCTCAAACCTTGTTTGTATCTTTCGCACCTGACAAGAACAAAGGCTGGTGGAAGTAGGCATCGCATTAACTTTGACCTTAATTTGACAACTGGGTCATCCTAAAGTAAGGAAATCTGTGAGAAGTCGTACCTCGTATTGGGACACCTCGTTTTTGTTTGCACATTTTCCTTGTTCCAGACCCTCTAAGGCCTCTTTAGATATACACTTTTTTGTAACTCCTTTTTTGGTATTGGATTTCTTCTTTATGCCAGCTATTCCGTTTCACCTGGTGTTGTCCCCAATTACTAATTTCAATGATTCGTTAGTAAATTTTACTCTTTTTGAAATGGCGGGTGTCGTCAGTGAAGCAGGAGACGAAAACTCTTCCGAAACACCTGGTCTTATTCTCCTTGTACTTATCCAAACGTCTTCCTTTCTATTGTTCATATATACTTAGTTTTATTGAGATTTGATTATGTTCAACTGTTGATAGTTTCTTCATCTTTTTGCTTTTATTGATGGATTTCTTTTCAATTTCTGACAACAGGTTTTGTTTGCAATCCATTAATCTCTTAAAATATTCTTAAAAATAAACACTAAAGCAATGGAAATTTATTTAATACATATTTCACAAACATACTTCCTTGCGATATATTTGTTCATAAATAATATCACTAAAACTGAGTTAAACAGTAACATCACATACCGTTACTAGACGTTGTTTACTTCTGCACGCGAATACCGTCTTCTTAACAAACAAACAAATATTAGTCCTGTAGATCATCACAATGTTTTCATTCAGCAACCCAATTGTTATAACAATGAATACATATCTCTCACATAGTCGTGTTATTTATAGACCTCACTAAAGAACTCGACCAGGAAATCTTGCACAATGGCTTTATCTGGTATAGTGGCTATCATACCATACATCGCTGCTGTGCCCTCCTTGGCCAGAGATTTGTTCTTCTGAAAAAGTATACAAAAGACAAACAAGTGAATGGTACCATTCATTACATTTTTACGATTAGATACAGAAGAGTCAAAAAATGAATAAAACTGCATCACATAGTTTATAGAACTAGTCATAAGGGTTTGAATTTTGAAACTAATGGGTCGAATGAAGAAAATAAAAAAAATGATTGAAATTTCAAAATCTAGATAAATACTACATTAGATTTTCATGTGTCTGATGATTTGAGAAGAACGTATACATTTGTATATACTGAAGTGTGTCACTATTCCAATGCATTAAAACCAACAACTTAACGCACTTTTGAACTTAAAGAAGTAGGGCTTTCATATTTGGCATGTATGTTCATTGTGACAACACTTTTCCGGTGGTTCCAAAATTTTTGACCATGTGACCTTGACCGTTACCTTTGACCTATATTAGAATAAAAAACTTAAATACTTGCTTTAACTATTATAAGTTCTGTTCATAATCTCTTAAAATGAAAAACGTGTTACGGTACCAAATATGATGAAAACTTGTTAAATGTTTCTTCCAATGTAGAAATCGTACAGTTGATAATGAATGACCGGTAATTGTATCACAGTGGTGTCCGAGGTCACGGCACCAGTAAAATGAAAACTTGTTACAATTTCAGATGTTAAGACTTAAGTTGAGATGTTCTTGCTCGGGCAAAAGCCCGAGCGAGCGAGGGTACCTCCTTTGGAGACTAGCCTCTCTCCTATCTGGCCGTCAGGAACCGATACATACTGGCTAGAAAGGTGGTCGTAAATATACTAGCCATGTTAATTCACTGATGAAGTACTAATACACATCAGCTTACTGTTCACAGTAGATGTCAGTACTAAATTAACACAGGCAGATACATTTTGATGAAACATCTGACTTATGTCTAGCACAATTTTGAATAATTTAATCTTACATATTAACTTTTAATAGTTCGCTCTGTAACAGGATGCCCTACATTGTACCGTTTTACTGTCCCATTTCAGAATTTTGTTGCAACCGTGGCCATAATGTTTCATAAACACATCTTGTTTTTGTAATATTTGTTGTTTTCACATAATTTTTCTGGATTCACATCGTTTTTTTCTAATTTGCAATTTTTTTGTATTCACCTTATTTTTTTCTAATTCGCATTTTTTTTTGTATTCACATTATTTTTGTATTCATATTGTTTTTGAATTCACATTAATTTTTGTATTCACATTAATTTTGAATTCATATTATTTTTTGAATTCATATTATTCTTTGTATTCGTATCATTTTGGCCCTAGAGCCACGAAGAATATTATATGGACACCTGTGTGATGCAGTTGCGTTAGATCATTTTTCAGCAACTACGATGTAAGTATTAGTAAGTTTAAGTCTTTATTTCCCTGTATTTACTCAATAGGAATAAAATTGTATTAATTTTTAATAGATTTGGAAACTCGTCATTTTACTGTTTAACCGACCTTGACCTCTTGCGCTGATTCCTCAAGGTCTTTAAGAAGAGAGTCTGACACTTTCACGTGATGTGGAAGTATTGAACAATGAAGACAGCTTGGGTTCTGTTGTCGCTCCATGTGCCAACCTGTATAAAGAGGACTGTCAAATTTAGTCATGTTATCAATTATAAAACACAATATTTACAATGATATGGCAACGTTGATGTATGAACTAAGTAGATATAAATGAAATCAACTTAGTGTGGTTCCAGCAAAACTCCAGCCAGACATCGCGCTCTGGTCCCACAACTACATGTTGGTTAGCTAAGAAGGACGGAAAGGAGGAGGCGAATGATCGCATGCTACATTGGAACGACACGCACATTGGGAATTGGTTGTAAGTGAACCCCCGGTAAGTCATTCTGGCGAGCCTTGCGACTGCTGTGTGACATAGGAGAAATGCGGGAAAACTGTAAGGGCGACAAGTAGACAGGTAAAAGTGTCATCCATAGAAAAGGTGCGGAAGAAACCTATAGGTGCGATGAGACGGCAAATAGAGATGTCATCCAGCTGAATGTGAAGAGAGAACAGATAGAGTTGTCACAAGACACAGTATTAGATATAAAGTGGTAGAAGACAAGTAGACACCACTGCCCAAAGTGATGCAGGGGGCTGAATGAAAAGCAAAAGGCTGCGACAAGATGCAGTGACGACAGTCGACCAGGCCCTTCTTGGGCCTGATCAACCCAGCCGGCGCACCTCTGTAGGACGTCGTGGACGAAATTTTCGCAAATAATTAACAAACCTTTTTTGCCCATTGCATCCGCTACTGCTTGGATGTCTACATCCGGGTTACTCGATCCGATTGAAAAACAGGTCATAACTGGATCGCCAAGAACATATAAGTCCTGTCAGAAAAAAATAGACCTACATCACATACAGTCATAAAAAATTCATCCTTCCATGTTGAAGTCGATGTAAAGTCTATCATTGCTTTTGTCAATACTTCCGGTAGAAAGACAGACAACTCTGGCTTGTATTGGCTACAGTTTCTTCTGCTTCAAAGATAAAAAAAAAACTGTCATCTTGACCTACACATAACGGCATTATTCGTACCTCAAACACACTAGTTTTGATGAATGATACAGAGTATAAAGAAGAATCTCCTTAAATCTACACATCTATGTAAGCCGAAAGCAGTACATGCCTGTATTTTAGAGACGCCTTCTTTGAGTTTGACTGTGGTCTCCATGAGTTCTTTGGCTCGTTTCATGTAACCATCGACACCGAGCGCCATCATTGACGCCCACGCAGCGGCGATATTACCACCTATATAACAAGTTTACACGAGTTTGTAAGCAAACTGTGGCAATGCTTTTGTTTTAGAAAAGTTTTCATTATGAGAAGCTGCCGTACCTTTCTTAAAAGGAGAGAAAAGATTAATTGAAATAACTTTACGTACTTCACTAGTGTGTGTCTTTTCAGTTTGTTAGGAGAATTATTATCTTAACTATTTTAACAATAAAAGGCAATAAATAAATGAATAAATAAATTATATAAAAAAGATACAATAAAATGAAAACAATAGGATTGTTTTACCTGGCCTTGTTCCCGCCATACTCGGACTTCCGTACAAACCGCCTGGCCATTCTGCGTAGGAAAATATCTGGTATTTGCGGATATCGGCGTTTCGGTAGAGTATAACGCTGGAACCCTGGGAGAGCAAATTATTTTTATTCCTAAAATAAGATCTCTACATCACTGTTTGTTTGTCGTTCATATCACGCATGTATCTGAGTGAATCAGTGACCTTAGCAGGAGCATAATATAAAGCCATGGGACAACTATTTCAATACAGAAACATTGAACTCGTCTGCTTTTGTCACCGTGGCGCTTGTTTTGTTAGATAAAAGGAAAAGAAAGAAAAAAATCAATAAAGATAAAGCAAACATTGATATTTTTACAGTAAGGACAGACGTTACCACTCACTGTCATTCTGGGATTCAAATTTTATAAATATGCAAATAATGTCATACGACGCTGACCTTGAACTCTTACCTTTACGCTGTATCCGTATTTGTGGATATCTGCCGACATGGAAGTTACCCCTGGATTTCGGAAATCAAATTTCGGGACAGGATATCCCAGCTTTTCTACCCTGTGATATATTTGTATCGTATATTAGTTGAGCTTTTCTCCCTCCTTTAGGCATTAATATTTGGGGTTTTTTTTTTTCATTGAAAACAGTGATTTCAATTTTCAAGATAATTCTAATCGGTAAATTGAATAAATCCTGCAGTACTGATTTTTTTTCAAAAATATTTTAAAATGAAAAGAAGGGGAAATGAAAAAAGAGTTCTGCATTGCAAGAACAGTTTATTTATTTATTTCTTTATTTTGATTTTTTTTTTTTTTTTTTTTTTTTTTTTAGTGATTTTTCGTGAAAAATTCGCGGCGAGGGCGAGATACTTTCATAATTCGTTTCGTGGATATAAAAATTAATGGTAGATATGCATATCAAAACCTTATTCATATTACATATACCACACAGTTATGACTATGAAGAACACCGATACCATGGCAACATGTAACCTCCAAAACAGGCGTCCACGTGCAGAGGAAGTCCTCGGCGCTCAGCGAGGGCAGCAATTTCCTCAATAGGGTCTAGGATCCCGTGACAGAATTGTGGTGCAGAAGCTGCTAGCATGACTGTGTTTGGACCGATCGCCTGTTATATATAGAATAAAAGAAACGAGGCGGATTATCTGAGAGAATACATAGCACAATTAAACAAAACACACACACCGACATATGTTGAATTTTGACCAAAACACGGCATTGAAATTTCTTAATGAAAAACCGAACCTCGATTATTCAGATTTGTGTCATAGAAGATTTTTTTGTTTTAATCTTAAACTTATTTCCCTTGCAATTTAAGTAAATATTAGCTTAATGTGGAAATGTACCGATATAAGTGGCTTTCAATTTCGTGATTTGTGTTCCTCTCGTGCTGTATAATATAATACATTATAATTTGAAATCAAATTTAATATGCATTTTTCATATTGTCAATATTATACTCTATTTGACAGCTGTCTTTACCTTCTCCATGGCCGCGACATCGGCCCGGAAGTCGGGACCTAAAGGGGTATGGATGACCTTCATACCGAAGTACTGCGCGGCCTTGTCAATAGTCGGATGTATTGTTCTTGGCGCCACCTGGTGAGGAATAAGTGTATAGTTCACATCATAACGACAATGCATTAGTCATAGCATTGCGGTTGTCACCTTGTACGGGAAAAGTCAAACTCTAACGGAAAGGAGGCCATAAAAACCTTTCAATTGTTTTCAATTGCGATATGTAAAAAAAACCAAGTTCGAGTTTACCTTTTAGAGTAGTTAAGGAATTTGACGTTCTAAATAAGAAATGAAAGTCCTTACTATTTCCGGTTCCGTTATGTGCGGGAAGAGTTTCCTTGCTCTGTCCCTGAAGGTTTTGACAGCCATGACGTTACTTTCCGTGCCACCGGAAGTCATGAATCCCAACACGTCATCATCGCCATTCAATATGGATGCCGTCATCTTAACAACTTCCGTTTCCATTTTTCTGACGTATGAAACATTTATGTATTTTTTTTCTCACTGAGAGCAGTGTTCGAACTGACACAGTGAAATACTGCTAGAGATTATGATTTTCTTTGAGAAACGGTTTATAAAAAAAATTCAAAAATAAAAAAGAGAAATCTTTTATACCTTAAACTCGGAAACAGCATCGGATTTAGAGCGTTCTCGTGTAAAAATCCGTGATGAAATTCTTTTACTAAAGCGTCATGGTCCACGGAATGTCCAATCTTCTCTGGAAAAGGAAAACCAGATCCGTAAAAAAGATAATTGTTATGTAGATCTTGTTAAAAGGATGCAACATCTAAGTAAATAAACAATATTTCTTATCATTAACACGTGTCGCTCTCTAAAGTATCAATGGTCAGTTAGTTGTAAAACAAAATCAAATCAAAATCTAGATTCAATTTTATAGTTAAGATCAGTCTTCAGGTGTGCCAGTTTGTTGTTGTTGTTTATATATCTTATATATAATTACAAATTTCTAGGTTTTTGCAAATGTCTCTGAATTCAAGAACTTCACAAGAGTTTATCCCTTCAGCTTTTGTTTTCAAGACATCGCGATTGTCGTTTCTATCATCGAAAGTAATAACCTTACAATATAACATGAACGTCTCTTTTCATATCTACAATATCAGTCAAAATTAGAGAGTACTACTTTACCGCTGAAAAGATCAAACGCTTCCCATTGTAGATTAAAGTGATCGTCTGACAACGTGTAGATATAGGCGAAGATCTTCCCTTCATCAGAATTCGTCTCCAAATCCTTCATTTTCTTCATCGTTGTCAGCAACTCTTCGTGAGGTATTCCTGTCACATATTAAGTTATGAATTGATGATTTTCTTTCGGTCAGTCCATGAAAAATTACTTCCAAAAAATAACACATTTTTCTTCGAAGTTGAACAATTTTAAAGACAGAATTATAGGTTTACTTTAAAATGTTCGGGTATTAAAACTGTCAGGACTTTTTTCTATAACAGTGCGAAAGTTCGTTTACTTACTCTAATTTCAGTGGTCATAGATCAATTCAGTTATTTTATTGAGAAAATATTCTATATGTGGAGATGAGTTTGTATTAAAGTGCTATAGGTTACAGGGGGTGATCCTTGGATTATCTCCATGTATGGTTAACCGTCTGCATTGACTTGCACCGAGTAACCTCTCACCTTTCTGTGGTAGAAGTACCGTTGATCCCTTCTTTTCCGCATTTTTCACCTCGTTCAGTTTTGTCGTACTGAGGAAGCTTTTGACCTCATTATGAAGAACTTTACCAATCACGAATTCGACTCCTGGAAGCTGTTTTAATGTTATAACCAAAACCCGGAAGAACTCTCGCGGTCCCTTCCGGAAGTAGATACTAAGTAGGACGGCAAGCACTGCGGTGAATACACAGTGTTCAATGTATTCCAAAAAAGACATGATTTATAGTAGAGTAGAATGAAAATACGTACTTCCGACAGTATTATTTGGTAGTGAAATTTAAACTACCGCCCTACCTTCTGTAGGTAGCTGGGTTACATATGTGTACCTGTGTTTATCAAGCTATGTACCTGGACGGTATAAAGGTGGTTGTTTATCGGATGATAATCTTGCTTCACGCTGTACAAACTCGTCAGCTTGAGGTCGTTATTAACATCTCCAATTATACACTTCAATGGTACGAAACAACTTTAACCTGAATCGGATCTCGTATTATGCAAGAACGAAAGAGTCCGGCTTTACCGGCAATGGAGAGTAAGAATTTGTTTTCACATAAAACTCATTAAATATACTATCGAAATGATATGAAAAAAGTGGACTGGCCAAAACACTTTAAAAACGGCCTTAATTCAACTAGGTTCGTCCCTATGTGTTTCATATGAAGATGGCCGTTCTTTTCTGCTGTTGTTCCAACGGGCCTCCTGTATGCTGTTCAGTGAAGTAGCAACCAGTCACCTCAAGGTGACCCAACCTCTAAATGATAGTGTTTACGTCTCGATAAACCAAGCAAACATATTAATAGGTGTTGAGATTTTGGGCACGCATGCAGGACTTTCGCTTTTTTCAGTGAAGCAGAAACCATTTTTTCACAATAAGACCCGCCTTAAAACGACCATGGCTGTTCACGGGCCGGCAAACTCATCAAACAAGCCAAACAAACAAATTGTTCAGGATTAGTTTTATTCCTTTGTGAGAGTAAGCTCAATGTCAACAAATAGTGCAGAATACGCCCGTCTGTACTCGTCTATCAAGCCAATGAATTTTATCAGCTGTCCTATCACAGATAAACATGTGGTTTCTCGGTCGAATTTCTCAAGGTCTTTGTCAACACTTGCATAATATAAGAATGTACTGGTCAATCTTAGTTATCAAACTGTTTCAAATTGTTACCTTAGTTCATAAATCATATTCAACTTTACAATTATTTTTTACCGGTTCTTAATGGATTATACAAAAGGATTTGTAATAAATATACTTTTAAAACATTTCAAATGTTGAAATATAGCAAACTGAGGAAACAGTGTTTCGGTAAGTTTGGATTGTCTTATTTCTATTTTTAGATTTCTCAACGTTCTACAAGGACATAACACCGTATGATCGATTTTTTTTATTCGACATAAACTGTATCTTATCATCTTTGCACAGGTTATCTCAAAGTAGATCATATGACGACCATAAAACGTTCACAAGTCTTGTCATCTCTCAAAACCCAGTGACATCTGTTACGGATATCCTGATACTGAGAACATGTTCTTGTGGAATCTGAAAGTTGGGAGTGTAACAGGGATTTGGCACGAATTCTCGATCCACGGTCGGGAAATGTCTATCTAGCTATATTTCCGAATTTGTCAGGTTATAACTTGATTTCTACACAGTCAATCTCCTTCATCAAAAACTTATTGGGAGGTTAAAAAATCTCTTTTTAAGGTCTGTGGCCCTTTGGATATGAAAATCAAAAAATACTATTTACAAAAATATGTCCAGTTTTTTCTTCTCGGGTGTTAAATTCTTGGTCACCATGAAACATCTGTTATGGACCGTGGATCGAGAAATCGTGTCAAATCTCTGTGTGGAGGGTTACCATCTAGAAAGAGAAAATTGAACACAATAGGGAAGTCGAAATGGTGTCGATGATGTGGCCATTTCAGTTGTGTTGTAAGTAAACGTCGAGGTAAGGGGATGTTGCTGGTGAGTTGGAGATGTGTCCTTGTAAGTTACGTCGTTGGTAGTAAATGTCCAGGTTAGGGAATAATGCTATTAAGTCAGAGGTGTGCCCTTGTAATGGGCGCTGTAGGTAATAAAGGTTGAAGTAAGGGGATGGTCCTTGATTGTCATTTCTTGTTGGTATATAAGATTGACAACCTTGATAAATTTCTTATTTACAGAGAAGACTTCATCAAGATATCTTAAAGGGAAAGTGGACAACTGTTCAAGAGTTTTTTTTATAATATCTTCGATAATTTCAAGGAGAGCACTAAATGAATATGAGAGAGAAAACGCAAGTTTAAATTACATCTTTTTAAATATGAATTGCTACGTGATACGTGACATTGTTCTTGAAAATTAAAAGGAACCTGTTACTGAATTTTGATAAATTTCTTAAACTTTAAGCTTTGCAAACTTCCATTTATGTTAAGCTTTGATATTGCTTATATCTAGTTGTCCGTGATTTCCTCATTTTCGTCTCCTAGCATTACTGACGAGTCCTAGAAGGACGGAACAGCTGTAGGATGCAGTGCAATTCATTATTCTGACCTATTATTGAAACGTGTTTTTCACTTGTGTGTATTTTCAAAATTCGTTGAAATTTATCCGTCACAGGAGTCAAGATATAAAAATGAGGGGGCGCGTACAGATTCCTTATAGGGTACTGATGTAAGTCGAAGTGGAAAAACCGACGGAGAAATGTACGACAAAACGAGGTCATGGAAGCAGGGATATATGTGCGCTCCAAAGACAGACACCAAAGGACAATGTCGCGCGATACCGCAATCCGGGACAGCATAAATAAATAAAATGCAGATGTAAACTTTTCACATTCTATCTCGTCCTTCAATTGAGCGAATGTTGGTTGCTGCAGTTTCGTGAATAACTGTATATCGTGGGGTTTTGTTGCTGATTGCAGGAATATTTTATGGCGCTTCCAGTCAAAAGTTACTAAGCAAGGTTAAACCAAGATCAGGTCGATTTGGACAGAAAACATCCAGATATGTACCGGGGATATTGACTAATGGTCCGACTTACTTCTTGCGGCGTATATCCTCGTAATATCACAGAACAATTCAGACTAAATAGAAATGGTTTTAATCACGTGATGAATGGAAAGAAAAGACTTCTGCTGCTTATAAATTTTCATTTATTGTATAAATCATTTACGTACAATCATGTGAATAATTGATTAATCAACAAGTTACAAAACACCTGGTTTTTAACATGTAAGAGGAACAACCTATAGAATCACAGTGATACTACCACCAACACATTCTCTATCAGCAAATGGCTAACAACGTGCATTTACAGTCTCGTGAATGCCATAATGATGTATAATGTAAATAAGATATTGTTATCTTCATAAACTTAACAGATACAAGTTCAACAATTTCACTTATTTCAAGCTTTGTAAAACTATGCCAGATTAATAGAATCTTTCATCCCCCCAACTCCCCTCAGGAGGTGTGACAGGCGGACCTCAACCAAAGGGTTGAAATATGATTATGATGGCAATCAGCTGGTTTGCCAAGTGGTTGCAAGTTAATAATCTTTTCTGGAGACTTGGACCCCCCCCCCACTCAACAACAAAGGAATTATCATCTTTCTCTTATCCTGCTGGCTTTAGTTGGTACTTGTATGTGTCTTTGTTGTCGCAGTGCTTTGCACATTTAACGTAATAGCATTGTTGACGTGACGTCAGTGAATTGTTACCGTGACGTCATATCATTGTCCTGACAGAGGAATCCCCAAGTCTCAACCCAATGGTGAGACAGGGAAATCTCACACTATTTAAAAAAATGGATTTACCTGTCCAGGGTAAGAGAAACGTCCCTCTGAGTAGAGGTTTAGATGCCATGTAGGTGATTGTCAATTGCTGGTATGATTGTATTTACAACAAAGGAATAACAGACCACATTCTGATTGTGTATACATACTGCTTAAGATATAAAATTTTTTATATACATATTTCAAAAATGATAAAAATGTTTTGGTACATCACAATATATGTTCAACAGTCTCTGGTGATTAACAATACAGATCTGATTCGTATCATTGCCTTCATCTTTGATATTGTGTGGTTTACAATCACTTACACTCTCTGCACCCCTTGAACATGTCTTGGCAAAATTGTTCCTAGGATGTAGGAGCAAAAGTTGATCATAACCCCTAGAATATCGAGGATGCATTGCCTTGATCAATATATATTGACCTGATACATATTACAGCAAAAAAGTATATCAAATAATTTTCTAAGTAAAATTTTATAATTTTTTACTCCAAACATTTAACCAACCCTTAATCAAACAACTACTACGATAAAACAAGAAAATTAAGAAAATGAAGTGTTGTATCATAAAATATTAGTAATGATCACTTCTAATGCATGCCATTTTATTAAAATTTGTTGAAAAAAATACATGTCATTTCTAAAATTCCATATATATTCTTATTTCATTTTTCATCTTTAAGTGAAATTAAGTACATGTATGCATAAACTATGTCCAGCTAAATTGCTTCATTTAATTGCCAAGCCACACCCAGGCAATGGTGAAAGTCCACACAAACTCAGACACTAATAAGCTTCAACCATTATCCTTTGCTTAAAACTAACAATTTGTCAATCAAGCAATTTAAAATTTTAATAAATTTTTTTGAAAAGAAATAACATTTCAATGACGCACATGCTAACTCGCTTGTGACCAACAGAGTGACATCAGATCAGTTTTGTTTCCATGATTTCGCTACTGATTTGTTTAAAAAATATTCTTTTTTCCATTTGAAAATTTCATAAAAAAATTGAATATCAAAACAGTAGTTTTACCTGATATGATTCTCAACACACTTGAAGTGATTATTGTAAACCAAATTGCTCAAAACGTAATTTAACAACACACTAATTTAAAAATGATATTTTATAATAAACAATTCACAAGCTGCCATCTATAAAAACGAACCATTTTTTAAAAAAAATCTTTTAGGCTTTTCACATCAGTACAACTAACAATTAACAATTCTCAGAGACCCACCAAAATCATACTGAAATATAGATGATCAAAAACTGACAACGTCTATTACAAAAATAATTCTGCAGCATAAATCGACAACATTTTCATACCATTGCATATTAACATTAATGAGCTTTTTAACAAATATTTCACATTGAAAGCTTTCTACTAAATCTACTTCCATATTTCCATATAGTCTTTCTAGATATCTAAAACTTGATAGCACCAGTAAACTACTTGTCCTGTTTCTAGAACACCTTTGATATCTTTCATATCTCAAAAAAGGAAGCATCAACTCAGCATTAATCTGACCTATTATTATTCATTAAGTGTAGCTACCCTTCAGGTATGAAGTAAAGTATCATCAGTGTATTATCTAGAAAATGAAAGAGTGAGGAAAGTCTCCGAATGACTCAAATGACTCGATGCGAGTCTTTAAATCTTCTATAATATTGAGACCTAAACCCTTAATTTTGACTAGCATCTTTACAATTTTACAAAGATACAAAGCAACCTATAATTACATGTACTAGATAAAACTTAATCAATAAATTTGAAATTTCCTTTATATATAGTTATTGAAATAAATGTCATTAGGTTTAGATTTTTAAAAAATTATACAAATTACAGGGTTTTTTTTCAAGAAAAACAATAGACTAGAGGATTTTTTAAGCTTAAACTAAACTATTACAACTAAACCTGTTACACTAGCAACACTCACTATTTTTGCAATACCCTGTGGTAGTTTTGTATGTGGAGTAAAACTTATGATATTCATAATTTGATTTCAGCATTATAATTGAGCAAGAAAGAAAAAGTAAGATAAAAAATTCACTTGTATATAGTTGTTAGTATACAGTAAAGACAAGTTCACATCTTCATATCCTACCAGTACAGTGGGAATTTTTTTGCAGTTTTTCTTGTTCTTTTTTTATACTAAATTTCAACAAATCTGTAATTTTGTTGATATCAATAAACAGTTCTGTTTTGTACTTTTCATACTAAAATTTACTCTAAATGATGTGACACTAAATTCTTTTAAAAAATAGAGGAGTATCGCGTAAACAGAAGTTTAGTAAACTCGCATACAATTTTCAAATATCTGCGTGAGATCTTCTTCAGTCTGTTGCCTTGGAGCCAACTTAATCACTCGATGCTGCAAAACAAATCAAAATTTAAAATAACTTTTATGATTTTAATAGAGGGTCAAGGTCAATAATTTGAACAAAATTGAAAGTTCTTCATCCCTGTTGGTAACTCAGTCTCTTGTAATGTTTAAGTTACCGGTACTTTGGTTTTGTTTCATTTCACCCAGATCTTAACAGTAAATCAGGTTGGTGGCTCTTCATTCCAAAATATCATTAGAATAGTCCTCATGCATTTTAGTTGAATAGAAGTTCAGAAGAAATTTACTACATTGTATATTTGAATTTGCATAAAAAGTGAATCAAGGTCCTTTATTTTAACAAACCTGACAGCACTTGATCCTGACATGTTGCTAACAAATTAAAATTACTCTCCTGAGACTTCAAACAGGAAATTTTTTTTGATACCAGAAAGCTGGAGGATTGATGCCACACTGTTACATAAGTTTTCAGATATTACATATGAATTGGCATAATTGTATAATTTTTTTTTCTTATTTTGGCTATAGCTGAATCCTGATGTTTTAAAAATGTTTGTGTTACACATCAAGAGATCCCAGAGGAATCTTGGCGCCCACCATTTTTTATCTTCATTTGTTTTTTGAACAATGGATCTTTTTATCCTTTCTTTTCTCTTCTCTTTGTAGAAATAGCAATAATAATTTATAACTGCCAAATCTAAGTCATTTTGATTTTCCCATTAGCCCCAAAATCAAACAGGCACAACTAGGGATCAAGGGGAACTTACACATGAAATTTGAGAAAGATCAATGCATTAGTTCTCAAGAAATAGTGATAACAAATTTTCAAAGTGAAAATCCAAGATGGTCGCCTGTAGGCCATTTTCATTTTCTGATCAGACCCAAAATCACACGGCACAACATGGGACCAAGTGGAACCTACATATGAAATTTGAGAAAAGATCCAACCTGTACCTCTCAAGAAATAACGATAACAAAAATTGTTTCTGCATGGATGGACACACGGACGGACGGCAGACCACAGCAGTATTTGAATAGCTGTCCATCTGTTGATGCTGGGCTAATAAATTCAATTTAATAAATTTAAAAAAATTAAGCTAATAACAAACTATTGTACATAGTTATCTCCCCTTCCAAACTAGCACTCCAACTGGAACACCTCGCCCAGATTAAAACACCTTCCATCAAAGATGAATGCATGGAAATCCAGGTGGTCAGATATATAGAATTATTGTACACAGTTATTTCCCCTCCCACAGTAGTACCCCTTGCCATACATAACAGCATTACCATAACACGGAATATACGTCTGGAATGTCTTAGTTCCAGATGTAGGATTAACTTACCTGGGGTAATGTGCCCTTGACGAGTGCTGGAATGTCATCTTTGGTATAACCCAGATCTATCAGACCATCTGGGACACCAATATCTTGCATTATTTCACGAAGTCGGTCCCCAAGAACCTGACCAGCATCCTCCTTCTTCTTATTGGTTATATCAACACCTAAAAATCATAAAACATTCTTTTTACATAATTACAGCCAGCAGGGTTAAATCCATAGATCATCAGCATTAATTTAAATAAGGTCTTTCATTTTTTCAAATTTTATATATTTGGTTTTATATGAACTTTCAGGACTATATCATTGTTCTGTCAACATGAACAAGCTTATCAGAAAATGATTCTTTAGATTCAGCTCAAGTATGGTATGTGGAATGAATATCTTCTCATTAATTTAATAATTCAATAGATCAACCTCACATAAAAAAAAAAAAAAAAAAAAAAAATCTTAATGATTGTTGAACTTTTGGTCACAAACCTAGAAAATTTGCTGCCTGCAGATGGCGCTCTGGACATGCAGAAGCCATGAACTCGAAGACAGCTGGTGCCGATATAACTACTGACAGACCATGGGGCTATGAGGAGAAAGGACATCATAAAAATTTTAGATACTAGAAGCCATTATAGTTATGCCTACACAGATACAAACTGAATACACAAAATGTAAAAAAAACTATCCCATAATTCCATTCTCATTTATTACAGTTTCAGAAGTAGATACCGACAATTTCTGTATCATTGTTTTGTAAAAAGTCTACCTCACTGACTTGACTTGGAATTTATGTGTCTGGGCTTATCATCAGATTGATATTGTAAATTTGTACTCACTACAAGGGCTATGTCCTGGTCGTATCCTTCAGACACAAAGTCCTTGACCAGTCCAGAGATAGGGTAAGACATTCCATGGCTGTAAAATGGACACAAGTTATTGAAACTGTATAGGCATTTACTATCTATTATACAATAATGACTTATCACATGACACGTTAAAAAAATTTGAAGGAATTTCAGAGAAACTTAATAGTTCACAATCATGTAGCTATCCATGTCTACAAGGCTATTTTTAGGTAGCAAGTTATCTCCCTTTTGATTATCTGAAGTAATTCAATCATACCTGTCTAACAAGGCAATTAATGGGATACAAGTGGCCTTTATAGGAGGATGGTCTGTATGAAGAAGTTTAATTACTAATTATTGTATTTTGATGAGTCCCAAACTAAATGGCCTTACTGACTGGTGTTTGATATTCAAGACGACCTTTATAGACAGGCATTTTTTCATAAGAAGGATGACCTTTGTTGACAGGTATTTAAAAAAAATTACAATGGTGACTTTTATAGACAGGTATATATTGTAGAGTGGTGACCTTTATAGACAGGTATATGTTATACAAGGCTGACCTTTATAGACAGGTATCTTTTTTAAAACACAAGGGTGACCTTTATAGACAGTTTTTTTTTTAAATAAAAGGGTGATCTTCATAGACAGGTATTTGTTGTATAGTGGTGACCTTTATAGGCAGGTATTAGTTGTCTAGTGGTGACCTTTATAGACAGGTATTTGTTGTATAGTGGGACCTTTATAGACAGGTATTAGTTGTCTAGTGGTGACCTTTATAGACAGGTATTTGTTGTATAGTGGTGACCTTTATAGACAGGTATATTTTTATATAAGGGTGACCTTTATAACCAGGACATGTGAATGTATATCACTAAAAAGATTGTCTTAAACATGATAGTAACATTAGAATAGTATGATTAGAACAAGTTCGACACACATGCATAAACGGATAGATACAGTCAATGACAGGCAAATTAGTTATATGATCCCTAATAATAATAATATAATATAATTTACATCACAAAAAATAAATTTGATGTTTATTATTTCAAGGTATATGTCTATAGACTAAACAAAGATAAATGATAAATAAATAAATTAAGAAATAAATGATTATAAATGATTTATCAGCTGTACATGTATACAATTGTTATATTTCATTATTATAACAAAATCATTAATACTGCAAAAACATTAGCTCAACATTAATTCATACAATGTGAAATACAATGTTTGATTCTAAGTGGGGTTCCAGAGAGGTAATCGGAGCCTCAACAAACTAGTATTATATCATCCTATTTGAATCCTGACATAAGATTGAGAAACCCTTACTGTCCCAGATTTGGACTTCGGGATACCCCTGTGACAGTGTGTAAGGAATTCAGATTTTACAGGCTTCCGACTTATATGATATATTTGAAATGAGTATAATATTCTCATGCAAGGTCAATTTTAAAATGAAAAATTTGTTTCATAAATCTCATTAAAAATCAAGACAAATTCATCATCCATTTCAACATATGAACAAGTACTAAGTTTTCTGTATTCCTGGTGACATCAGAATCTACACACAGTATTCCTGGTGACATCAGAATCTACACACAGTATTCCTGGTGACATCAGAATCTACACACAGTATTCCTGGTGACATCAGAATCTACACACAGTATTCCTGGTGACATCAGAATCTACACACAGTATTCCTGGTGACATCAGAATCTACACACAGTATTCCTGGTGACACCACATTGTAATCTACACATGCATGATGACATTTGATTACCATTACCAGACATCAATATAACTTACAGACTGATAAAATGTGATAAAAATGCTTCCCTAATGACAACAGTGTATAAAAAAGTACACCAAAAAATTATCATATATTTAAAACAGAACTATAAGGTTTTAGCTATAACCATCAAAAGGTTTTTAGATAATTCCAAATCTTTGAAATCTAAAATAATTTTTCCCCACTATCCTCAGTATAGGCTAAGAAGTCAAAATATTTCAAAGTTTTCATCATAATTAATAGTGACCTTCAAACAAACAAACAAAAAAAAAGAAGAAAAAAAAAAAATCCAAACTTGTATTTGAAAATCATCAATACACTATTCCTACCAGAGGTGACACCCAGAGTTGCCAAAGGCTACACCAGCGTATGTGCTCGCTAAATGCATGGCACTACGGGCCTCCGCATCATCAGCGTTGTTCGTAGATCTATATAAACACACACAGCAAAAAAAAACATGCAATATTATAAGCTCTAAAAATAGAAATAGGGAATCCCTTGAAGTGTTTCAGGCTCATGAACCACGTCGAAAATGCACATGGCAAAGGCAACACAAGAAGATCTGAAATTACAAAAAGGGAATCACTCTGAGGGTTTCAGGCTGTTGAAGGTCCATGTCGCAATTAAGAACAGCAAAATAGATAACAAAAGAAGAAACCCTAAAATTTGATAAGGAAAGCCCTGCAGGTGTTAGACGTCCTTCAACCTTCATGTTATAAAGATGCACCGCATACACACAATAAGCTTTAAAACCAGAAGCAGAAACCTCCTATATATCAAAGGTCCATGAACTGCAGCTACATGTATGTTTATAGTTAAATCAACTCAGCAAAACGCAATTCTTCTTATAACCATTTGAAAAACTAATAAGGGACACTCCCTACACACTTACAGGTTTTTCTCTATCAAGAAGACAGCTTGGTATGGAAATGAACTGACTGTCCACATCGCAAAAGGTGACAAAATTGTTAATCTTTACTTCTATGTTGTAAAATGTGACTACATTGGACACAGTAATGAGTGGTTAGTCTGTTGTCAGTATAATGTGACAGGGTGGGTGATGGTCAGGACTGGTTAGTCTGTTGTCAGTATAATGTGACAGGGTGGGTGATGGTAAGGACTGGTTAGTCTGTTGTCAGTATAATGTGACAGGGTGGGTGACATTAAGGACTGGTGAGTCTGTTGTCAGTATAATGTGACTGGGTGGGCGACAGTAAGGACTGGTTAGTCTGTTTTCAGTATAATGTGACAGTGTGGGTGACAGTAAGGACTGGTTAGTCTGCTGTCTTTATTATGTGATGGAACGGTAGATGGTAAAATCTATTAAGTATGGTGCTTAATGTGACAGGGTGCAGGATGTCATGTTATCTTGTCCAGGTTTTGACATTCAGTGTGATGGCACTATATAAAAGTCAGTTTGCCAGCAAATTGATGACTGTGGACATACCAAAATATTTTTGTTGATCCACTCGATAACTCTACAGAGCTTACAAAGTAGTCAATGGCATAACCAACAGCAGTGAGAGATGAAGACAGAATTTCTGATTTCAAGAAACTTTTTCTCATAACTAAAAAATTTCTAAAGAAATTAATGTTCCTCCTCTTTTTATTGCAGCTATTAAAACTGACCTCTGACCCCTTGAACAAGGACTGCCTAATATGATAAGCTTACAACCTGATGCTATGATACTATAGAGTTAATAGGAACCAAATCTCAAGATATGACATTGATTTGAAAGGGACTAGAACACAGTGGACAAATTGACCTTAATTTTTTCTCATCCTTCAGACCCGAAAAGCAAACACAAAGCAAGCACTTTAAGAAAGCACTGTATAATTAGGAATAAAGCTATTCAAAGGGATCTCAAATCATTGTGCAACAATCTTTGTGCATCCAACAAGTACCTATTTTTTTCTAATAAAATGATAAAATGAAAGAACAAACAATTCATATCATTAAATAGATCGGAAGAGAGGGGGAGGAGGGGAGGATTGTATTTGGCATCAGTGATCTTTCTCCAAAAAGTCCACAAAATATCATACTTCTGTAAGTTTGTGTCTGAGGCGTTTTAGGGGTGTCCCCGTCATTTTGATTACATTCCCTGTTTTCCATAACAAGTATTAGTCACAGTTTCTCTTTGCCAATATATCATGGGACATTCAATCTCACATTTGTTTGAGGTCCTAAGTTTATCGCCCACAGGGCAGCCACAGTCATTTTGAGACAAAGTCTTCTCTTAGCTGGTGACTACCTTACTGAACCATATAAGGTAGGCCTGCTATTACCATTTAAGGTAAAGTGTCTTGCCCAAATCATATCCAGTAGGCTAGTTCATTTCCTGACTTCTTTAGAAACACAAACCATCTAAGTAGGAACCACACACCTAGTATCTACACCTGAGGTTATAACTCCATGATTTATTGACTGAACTGATTGCTGACTTCAAAAATCTGTCGTAGCGATATGATGCCATGACTATTTTTATGGAGACTTTCGATTTTCAGTGAAAATTTGGGAAAGTTGATCAAAATCAATAATCAAAATTGATACATTGTTGAAGTTTTTTAACCGCATCTGTTCAGAGTCTAAAATTTCTAAAGAAGATAGATATCTGATATGAAACAGAAAGTGTGACCAGTACCTCCTTCTCTGATTTGATACATTGATTATTATGTTCAGTGTTTTTTCCTGAGATGATGATTTTACAGGGTGTTATAACTGTTAGACGAGAAATCAGTTGTTCACAGCCAGAGTAGTGTTAACAACAGGCTACGAAAATTAAAAAAAACAAACAAAAACAGCAATATCATTAAAAAAAACTGCAAAAATCGTCAACCTAAAAACAAGAAATTTGTTTTTATTTGAATAAATTCAACAAAAACTTAAAGAAATTAAAAAAATTATCCATGTGATTAATTTATTGAGATTAATCTGGCTAAGAACAACCTGATTCTCGTAACATTAGTAGCTACAGGTTTGCTAAACTAAGCTAAGATTAGTCCAAAAGTGCCCATTTGTGTAGAAGACACAAACCTATTAATTTCTTTTACAGACATACCACAAATGTACTCCAGCGTTTCCGAAGCCGATGCCAGCGTAGGATGAGGCTAGCCCCATTGTTGATCTAGCCTCTACATCCCCTTTGTCGTATACAGCTCTTATTTGTCAAAATTAATTTGTATATTAAAAATGAAAATAAATGTAATAACATCAACATGATAATCAAAAACAATTTTTTTTTATACATTTTCCAAAATATTTATGATCATATGGAATAGATCTTTTAAATTTAGATGATTGTAATCAGAATATCATTAATTATTGTTTAAATATTTAATTTCATAATATTCTTCTGAGTTAGAATTTAGAAGAAGAAATATTTGTTATGTTATCATACAATTTTACTTTGGTAGACATATTGCTATGGAAACAGACTTGTTACCATGGTGACACACTGCCCTTTAGGCAGTACCCACCTTTTGAGATATTTGTTGGTCATTCTAAGGGCCTGAGCTGACCAGATATCACTGATAGGATTACAGCCCTGGTATGCTGGACGGAGAATCGGGTTTTCTGGACAAGGACCTCGCTCCTGATAAGGAACGGCAGTGTAGGACTCAATAGCATGACTGTAAAAAATCATTTTTACATAAAAATGTTTTAAAATCTGAAAAAATATGATTCAGATAAAATGAGACTTCTCTACAAAGTATGACAATTATTTTGTACATAATGTATTAATGTGAAAATAAGTATTGGACATATTCGCTAATAAGCCCACTAACTCCGCGCACAGTTCCTTAAAAAATGTCTTTCAAGACTTTTTCATTGTACTGTTATAAACCTCCTATGTTTAGCCAGAGGTAATGTGTTATCATACAGGGTTTATTGAAAAATAAGTATGATATGCATTATTTTTCTAACTAAGTATATTAAGTAATCCTGGGTTTAAAAGAACTTCTTTTCTTCGAATGATTATTGTATAAGTTAAAATCAAGTTAAAACGATCCAAAGGTGAGAAATGTTGTACTTGAATGCATATAAGGTGTAGCAGTGTAAAGTTTTATGTTAAGTGAGAAATAAAAATCAAAATAGAAAATAATGAGACCTAAAACGACCTTACCAAAGTACGTCTATTCCACTATATGCTGTTACTCGTTCTGGCATGGAAAGGAGATGTAGGGGGTCCACAATCCCCAGGGTGGGGCGCAAGGCACGGTTAGATATACCTATAACAGTAATATTAAATCTTTTATCAAAACATGCAAGTAAAAGGCGAATAGAACAAATACAAAAATGTAAAATTTTTAAAAAGTTAAATAAACGGATACAAAAATACGAAAGTCAAATAAACGGATACAAAAATACGAAAGTCAAATACACGGATACAAAAATACGAAAGTTAAATAAACGGATACGAAAATACGAAAGTTAAATCAACGGATACAAAAATACGAAAGTTAAATAAACGGATACGAAAATACGAAAGTTAAATAAACGGATACGAAAATACGAAAGTTAAATCAACGGATACAAAAATGTATAAAAATGCAAAAATGTAACCTTGGCTGTTAATAGCACATTAAGTAATGATAAAGTAAGTTAACTCTGCATCAATGTAACCTACCTGTCTTAGCCTTCATAGGAAGATAATCAAACACTGACGTCCCGGTTGTCTCACTTCCTGTTCCTGCTGTTGTGGCCACTATAATAAAAAGAATAAAAGAAAATACAAGTTAAAACACACACGTTCTTGAAGACCTACCTATATAGGTTAATTTGCTTCTTCACTTTAAAAAATATAGAAAAGATATGATGTTAAAAATAACTGTCATTCAGACAGTTTTATACCAACAAGTTGTTGTTCTCACACTTTTTTCACTATACACAATGACCAGACCTACTACCTAGAAGCATATGTATATAACCAGTAAGTCACATGACTGTCACAAGACACTACATTAACACTTGGTCCCTATATCCTCTCAACACACCACATTATCAAAGTTTTTCCTCGTCATGACAGCCGATCTAGGATAACATCCAAGGATGAATTTAATACTAGATCCCTACATCTTCTCAACGCACCACATTAGCAAAATTTTTCCTAGCCATGAAAGTCAGTCTCGGATAACATGCGGAGAAAAAGAAAATATAAATTGCAAGTGGGCTTATGGCAACTAAGTCATTAAACCAGCTAGGCCGGCACTTGGGATGGAATTTGCTAAAAATCACTTACAACTATCTCAGCTATGATTCTATTCAAACAACACTTTATTGTTTAACTGATGCAGAACAATAAGACTACTGTTGTTTTGTTGAACTTGCATTTTCTAGCTTAGTACTTTCAGTGCAATTATAGTATCATGAATGCCATTCACAGTTATAGGATGTCATACATGTAGATTGTAATATAGCTGCTCTTCATAACACTGGATTCTATTTGTAGCAATATCACAGCCATTCATAGCACTATGATTAAATTTCATCATATGATTATTAATCTACCTGCAATAAGAGGTTTGAGCGGGTGTGTAACAGGAAGTCCCTTCCCTATGGGAGCATTGACATAGTCCAGCAGCTCTGAGTCTGGTTTAGAAGAGTAGAGGTTAGCTGCCTTACATGTGTCCATAACCGATCCACCACCGATTGCCAGGAACAAATCAAAATCGTGTTGCTTGGAGAAATCTATAGCTGCCTTAAAACTGATGAGAAAAAAAAATCATGGTATTTTTCATTGATAGATATAAATATATATTCAAGAATTTATAATTTTATACAAGAGTTTACACTTACAAAGGCATGACTGTGACCATGATTAAAGATAACCAACAGAGGTCACAGTGACTGTCCTGTATTAATTAATTAAAAATTTCAGAATAAAGCCTTTAAGTATCCCACAGAAAACAATCATCATTATATTCCATACCTTTCATCAGTGGGTTCCACTCTGCAACCATCATAGAGTTTGTATGGGACATTTTGGCGTTCCAGTGACTCCAGCGCCACCTGGACTGGGCTCAGTGGACTCAGGTACTTGTCTGTCATCACACATACTAATTTGGCACCCATATTTTTACAGTCCTGGGGGTCAAAAGGTCAACATTTTAACAATTGTCAAAGTTTACCTTTATAAATAAACCCATACAATGTTGATAATATAATCCATTAAAGTAGGTGTAACAATTTTACAATTGTGATGTCACCAGTACTGTCGTTGAGGAAACACACAAAAACATTTTTCAAAACATTTCCAAGTCTGTAGAGTGCAAAGACAACAGTAAAATATGAACATGACAACATTATAATAATTTAAATTCTAATTCAATAAAACTATGGCAAAAATATAGATAAAAGAAAAATTTACATGGAGACTACTGAAAAAGTACAAGGAGAATAAGACCAGGTGTTCTGGAAGAGTAAGCATCTTCGGCTTCATCAAAGACACCCACCATTTAAATCTGTGTCAATCTAAGTAAGTAATGCCACATTCTCGAATAAGAACAAGGTATACAACAACAGAACCAACAAACACACTAACAAACATTAAATATGTCAAGCTTCTTAAAATAAACTTAAAGGTTTAAATTGTTTTAAATCAGACAGAGGAAATTGTAATAAAACTCAAATTTCCATTCTGACAGGTACATTATACTGACCATGCCAACCTCCTTTGTGACTCCTGGACCATACCGGATGTTAGAGCATGCCATCTGAAACAGAATTTATAGATATTTCGGTATCTAGTAATTACACCACAGGTGTTAGAGCATGCCATCTAAGACAGAATATTTTCCAGATGTTACATTATGCCATCAAAAACAGAATTTGTAGTGTATATGTTCAAGGACATAATGCCCAAAAGGTGGGACAAAGTGGTGGGGTTGACGCCAAAAGAGTTCTACTTTTTAACCTTATCTATTTTCAACCTGTCAGAAACTCGAGAATTTTATCAACAAACAGTTATTTGACACACACATTTAACACAACATTTCTCAAGTTGTATCCAGTAAACTGGTGAATGGATTGTCTGATATTTGTGTAATAAAAAAAACAATTCTTATCAATATGAAAAAATAATGAAGCTTGGGCTGCTCTAAACTCATGTCTGAGCAAATTTTCAACTTCATGCACCAATCTCAAAGAAATGATAGTTTTAGTTCCTAATATAGTGACAACTTATATTTCTGAAAAGAAAAGTGGTATAAAATTCCTCAACCAAACAAAACAATTCCTAAAGTCTCCAACCTGAAAGACCTCCCATCTTAAATATAAAAGTGTGTTATGACAAACTTTTGTGTCAAAAATTAACAAAAAAAAAAGACTCACTAAGTTAGTGACTGATTGTTTGGTGTAAAAAAGACTTAGACAAAAGAAAATAAAGGGCTGTAACTCTGGTTATCAAAAAAAATGTTTCAATTTAACAAGAGGCCCAAGGGCCTTAACGGTCACCTGACTTCTAGGAATGCTGTTGTTTTTCTTGTTTAATTTATAAAGTACCAGAGACACCATCTTGCTAACTAAGATGATTTGAACTATATTGTACTATAATGAGCATTGTAGTAACTGACATCCCATGTTAATGATTCTAACCACCTTTGATTTATAAGAAATTATGCTCAAAAATACAATTTTCAAAAAAGGATGTAGTAAACTTTACCCCCTAACCTGGAGGAAATGTGCGACCCTGGGGTTGACATTCACAATTGTGGTAAAGTACTATCCATGAAAAAGATCATACCAAATATTGTTGTTCAAACTGATATTTTTGAAATATCAATTAATTTGACCCCTGTTGACCTCATCCATCAGCCGTTAGGATCAGCCAAGGTCAATTTAGTGCATACCATCAATCTGTCATCCTGTTTGTTCTAGCCAAGCCTGAATTGATTTTTGAAACTTAAGCCAATTTCGCCTCTCTTCGCCCTGCCCCTCAGTCCCTTGAAGGGTGGGTACCATACAATTTTGCAATTTTGGTTAATCTTTTGGCCTTTGAAAATTTCAGCAAAATGTCGTTGAAACTGGTTCAGAGGTTTTCCAGAAGAAGTCAAAATGTCAACTGGTTATAATGCAAAATGCTGTATAAAAGATCGGAATAGGTTACCATGAGACTTTGTCTAAGGCGAAATAAAAATAAGATGCAAATTACAAGGACAGGTATAGGGCAACTTGGATCATCAGCCATTTACTACAGTCAGGCTCTTCCATTTAATGAGTTTACATTGCCAATAAATACCAACCAATCACTGCCATGCTTCCAAACACTGTTATGCAAATTCTGAGTAAAATATATCAAATGATGTAAATTTTTGGCAGCAAATGTCTTTATACTTACCTCAAAGGCATATTCATTTTGAGTTTGGGGATCAGCTGTGGTTCCAAACTTGTCTAAAATAAAAATCAATTAAAACCAACAATTTACAACAGGTTATTGTTTTAGACATAGAAGGAAATTTGCCTCATTTTATGTGACGATCTGTTCAGAGTATCAAACTTACAAAATTTGTAACATATTACACAGAAACAGCAATTTGAGATTGTAATACTGAAGACATCTCATAGCATGTCATATGTTTTTTTTAGCATTTTCATGAAATTACAACATTAAAAAAAATCTTTTTTCATCAATATAACTTCAATAAAAAAATAGTAACGTAATTTCAGGATTTTGTTTCTCTATATACTAAGTTCATGTCCCTTATTTAGTATAGTTTTGCTTAGCCTTACAATGTATTGCGTAGATATTTATTTTCTATATGCCTTCCCTAAAACCACAGGTATAGTTTTGATTAGCCTTACAATGTATTGTACAAAATACTTATTTTCTATCTGCCTTTCCATAAAATTACAGGTAACGTTTTGCTTAGCCTTACAATGTATTGTATAGATACTTATTTTATATCAGCCTTCCCTAAAACCACAGGTATAGTTTTGCTTAGCCTTACAATGTATAGATACTTACTGTTAAGAGTCACAATAGAAGATTCTGGAGCTAAATGTTGCCTGTTAAAATGGTAAAAACGTTTTTTTTTAAATGTAATGTAATTATGATTAATATATACACAATTATATCCCATTTTTTACATAACTTATATGATCCATATTCTGAGGCTGAAAAATCACTTAACACTGATATAAGTCCAGGGAGTCACGCCTCTAACTTACTGTAAGGGATGAGCTTAATGCAGAACAATGAACAACATCAGCTGTCACTTGTTGCAAACTTTGAATTTGAATTTTGAATGTTTTTTTTTTACTAGATAAATATGATACTAGGATAAGTTTTCATGAATATGTAAATTAACTATCACTAACATATTCATGAACATGGAACATGAACATGTAGTTGCACAGTGGTTCCCTGTCCATACCTATGATGATATCGTCTCTCATGTTCCTTGGTTTATTTATTACAATAGTGATCACAAAATATGGAAACATTTCATTTGGTGAAGTTAGAAACAATTTCTCAAGTCACTGCACAAAGTATGACTACTGCTGATTACAGTTTGAATATCAACTTGTAATTACATTGTGAGCTCAGCCTCTGTGAAGTGTTTGCACACTTTTTTTTAATCAACTTTTCAAAGTATACGAAGACTGTAAATTTATTTCAATCAGATGAACAGTTTGCATTCTTAAATACATAAGTTGAGAAGCCATTCACCAAATAAAACGAAAATATCAGAAAATGGTTAATCTTTTTTATCCTGTTCTGGTAGTAACACAAAATGTTCGTTAAACAATGTAATCATGCTTCTCAGAAACCTTACAATCCATGTACATTAAATACAAACAGAGATAAGCCGAGGCCATCTGCAAACAAACAAGACCTGTTCATATGACCTGGTCACCTATTTCAGTACGACCCGAGCTCCTTGTGTAACACATGTACATGAAAGTGGAGCTTATACAACGCAAGACATTTAACAGTTCATTTAAATGTTAACAAACAGTTCTGAGTCTGTAGAAAACCATTCTGTAAGTTGAAAACATTTCAGATTTGACAATCAGTACCATCAGAAAAAAAGTTGTTCCTTAGCACATAAACATGCAATTTAATGTACCTCCGTATTTTGTATAGAGATGGTACAAGAACATTTTCTTATGCATGTCAACAGTTGTCTTGTCAACAGACTTCTACTTTTAAATCTTACCATGATTTTGCAACATGTCGCATCAGATTTAGCGCCTTATTCCTCGCTGCAGCCATGCTGTTCAGTGTTCTAGTTTCTAACAGCTGATAAGCTTTAGGTGGAAAGGTGATTCCACCGGATGTAGCAGTATACGTGGGTACGACGAATTACCGAAAAGACAGCCATTTACCGAAAAGACAACAGAATTACCGAAAAGACAGTTATTATCAATATTACACTAATTTTACGGGTGATGAATGGAACTAAAACCATTCCAATCTCAATTCAAGTCATGATTTATTCAATCTTTGCAGTCTTTTAATGACTTAGGGATATTAGGTGTTTTCCCTAATTTCCCGTGACTGCAATGGCTGACGTAAGTGAAAAGGCACTGGAAAGACAGTCGGTAGGCCTTTCGATATTATACTTTTTGGGTGTTGTCTGGGACTAAAGCATCTAAAATCCTGACTCCAGCCATAATATAAAGAATATTTCCATTCCTAATGATTTCTTAGAGTCTGTTTTCGTTTCAGAATTCCCCGTAACCACAATAGCGGAGTCAGGTGATTGACAGCTCAGAACTCCGCCCACGTTATGGCGATATCTGATGTTCAGAAATAATAATAGTAATAATATTTATTCCAGGGACGTATAATACAGATGTACAGACCTTTTTTATTTAGCGCATATAATGTATATAATTTGAAGAAAACACAAATTCTGAAATTTACTAAAATTATTGCAAATTTTGGAAACAATGAGATGCAGATATATTTCTACAATAAAATTTCAGTGTTATTGCATCAACACTCCTGATGGAGAAATGGAAATGACACATTGAGTATTCATAATATTGATCAAATTGCAGCAATTTTATTAGATGGGAGATTACACTGAAAATGGCCAAATCATACTCATTTTTGGCACATGTCTGTACCATTTTAAGCATTGTGTTGTTTTCAAAAATAAAAAAAAAAATCTAGATAAATAAATCATAGATCAACCACTGCTGCAAAATGAGTTCTTGAAATAATTTATATTTACCTTTTAAGTGAACTTTCCACATCGAAATTTTGACCATGGAAACAGCAGTCTTTGCAGAAGAAATTCAGAGACCATTCTGACCACGATTTCAGCTGTATTTCCGACATTGGTACACATTCTTGATGTATCCACCGCAGACATTTACTGCACTGAATTGTGTCAGAGACACATTCTTTTTTGCATTTCTTGCACGGATAACAGTTTGCCATACTGAAGGACACTGACAACCCATTTTTTTTTTTTTTTGAGCTTAACGTCCTTGTTCCGGTTATAACCGAGCCTAGGACACTAAGGGGGAGGGGGCTGGTAGGGCCGAGGCATTAGGGTGTGCAATTTCGCTTTTCAGTAATCACCAAACAGGTCTAATATGGGGAGGACAGATCTGACTAAATCTATACCCTAACGTCTAAAAAAAAAAAAAAAAAACGTGGGAAATTTTGGACTGTCACAGAAACGCCTAGTCCTACTCTAGTCTCACTTTATATTTCCCTATTATAAACCTATGCTCTGTGGCGGCTAGCAGTTAGCCTTCTTTAACGTGCACGGCGTGACTCACTGTACACCGGGCCCCCGTTTAACGTCCCTTCCGAAGGACAAGAAGTTTTAGAAGATAGCGGGAGAGAGTGTAGGGGAAAGTCGGAAATTGGAAAATAGGTTTAGCTTGTTAGCTGGTGTAGGTTTGTTATTTGTAGATGGGATTACTAGCCACCATTTGACAAGGTTAGTCGTGCTGGTCTAGAGTGGATTTTAAAAGTGGGGAACTGTGTTATTAAGTTCAATTATGAGAGTGGATGTGATGGGGTGATGTAAAGAATGTGCTGGAATTGGGTTAGCGTAGATTATTAGGATTAGTGATAATTAATGTGAATTATTATACAAACGATGTCGTTCGGGAGACTGTAGATTACTGTGTATAATCGTCTACATGTCTACCCTACTAGAGCAGGGATTTGTATATTAGAAGGTGGAAGGAAGAGTGGAAGAGATTTTGTAAAGGCTTTGGGTCTCGGCCCAGTGTATGTTGTATTTATGTAGGTGGTGTTTTTGTGTATGTATGTGGTGTTGTGGGTATGGTTACTTAAAAAAAGGGGGGGGGATCTTACTGTTTTTCTACAGTGTCCCCTGCTAAGGGATGTGGTGTGTGTTATTGGCATGTATTAAAGGGTATTGTTGGTATGTGTGATAACCCATTCTCGTATGGCATTCATTTGATTAAAATTGGGATGAAACCACAAAAGAACAAAAACAGATAGACGGAAATGCTTCCAATATAGTGTATATTTTCGCATCATGAAAAATTCATCTCTATCCGTTGACATCAATTTGATCATAGACGAAATGTTATTGCAACAATCTGGAAAATACACAAGAAACAATGCAACCATTGTCATGGAATAACAAACTGACAGGTGTCATAATGGAAAAAATACTCTCAACAAGCAGAAAACAAATGACGGCAATTAGAAACCATTGACAGTTGCAATGAAGCGTGGCAGTTTTCTTAAAATGATCACTCCATCGGTAAATAAACAAAAGAATCAACCCTGATTGGTTGAATGAAAATATCAGCAAAATGTAGGCGGAGCCTAGAGCTGTCGATCACGCTCGTCAGCCATGGCGGTAACAGAGAATTACGGAATAATAACTAGCGTCTAACAGGTAATTAAAGACTGCAAAGATTGAATAAATCATGACTTGAATTGAGATTGGAATGGTTTCAGTTCCATTCAACACCCGAAAAACTAGTGTAATATTGATAATAACTGTCTTTTCGGTGTGTTTTCGGTAAATGGCTGTCTTTTCGGTAATTCGTTGTAGCTAGCAGTAAAATCTATTTTTAGATGGAAAATACCTTTGTTGTCATTTTACAGATGTAAACAGTTTCTGTATTCTGGTGTATATTGTATACTAAAACGGTAGTACAGTATCAATATTAGCTAATTAGTGCGTTTTACATAGATTATATTAGACTAGCTACAGTTCATCTTTCTTGTGATTGAAAACTCAATCAAAGGGAAACAACTCTCATGTCAATCAGTCACAAACAGAGGGAGGAGTGTTGCAGACGAGAGGTGTGAGAATTTATTGAAATTCTACGTGAATCGAGTGACTGTCACCTGTTTGTTAGAAAACATATGACAACGTGTGAAAGAATCGATGTTCTAAGGACAAAATCTAGCTTTCTACTCGATTGAAATTCTCTGAAGACGGTAGGAACATGGATGAGTTTTCATCAACACGACACATTGTGGGTGATGAATCATCCGAATATGATCACGATGAAGAAAGCGTTAAACTCGGACCACCGAAAGTAATTATACTACATATTATAAGTTTAGTTCAGACTGATACTGAAAATGCTGAGATATCGTGCCATACCAGAACTAATTATAACCCCCTCTGAAATTGATCTCAACAGACATGAATCGATCCTTATTTCTTTCGATCAATTAACAGTTAAAGTCAGGTATTAGGGATATATAAAACACATATCCATTCCCGATGGTTTTATGGGAAGGAAATACTTGAATTGACATAAAAACATGAAGTAGATACTGACTGACTGAACGCAATGTCTTAGGAGTCAATCATTATGAACATTAAGCAGTTACAAGGTAGACTATATCTGTTGTAGAATTTCTAAAATTTTGTTGTTCCAGGGGTGATGTTTAGTGTGATATTGGTTGTAGTTGGTGTGATATCTGTTGTAGCTGGTGTGATATCTGTTGTAGTCATTGTGATATCTGTTATATCTGGTGTGATATCTGTTGTAGTTATTGTGATATCTGTTGTAGTCATTGTGATATCTGTTGTAGTCATTGTGATATCTGTTGTAGTCATTGTGATATATGTTGTAGTCATTGTGATATCTGTTGTAGTCATTGTGATATCTGTTGTAGCTGGTGTGATATCTGTTGTAGTCATTGTGATATCTGTTGTAGTCATTGTGATATCTGTTGTAGTCATTGTGATATCTGTTGTAGTCATTGTGATATCTGTTGTAGTCATTGTGATATCTGTTGTAGTCATTGTGATATCTGTTGTAGTCATAGTGATATCTGTTGTAGCTGGTGTGATATCTGTTGTAGTCATTGTGATATCTGTTGTAGTCATTGTGATATCTGTTGTAGTTTTTGTGATATCTGTTGTAGTCATTCTGATATCTTTTGTAGCTGGTGTGATATCTGTTGTAGTCATTGTGATATCTGTTGTAGTCATTGTGGTATCTGTTGTAGTCATTGTGATATCTGTTGTAGTCATTGTGATATCTGTTGTAGTTTATGTGATATCTGTTGTAGTCATTGTGATATCTGTTGTAGTCATTGTGATATCTGTTGTAGTCATTGTGATATCTGTTGTAGTCATTGTGATATCTGTTGTAGTCATTGTGATATCTGTTGTAGTCATTGTGATATCTGTTGTAGTCATTGTGATATCTGTTGTAGTCATAGTGATATCTGTTGTAGTCATTGTGATATCTGTTGTAGTCATTGTGATATCTGTTGTAGCTTGTGTGATATCTGTTGTAGTCATTGTGATATCTGTTGTAGTCATTGTGATATCTGTTGTAGTCATTGTGATATCTGTTGTAGTCATTGTGATATCTGTTGTAGTCATTGTGATATCTGCTGTAGTCATTGTGGTATCTGTTGTAGTCATTGTGATATCTGTTGTAGTCATTGTGATATATGTTGTAGTCATTGTGATATCTGTTGTAGTCATTGTGATATCTGTTAGTATTGTGATATCTGTATATCTGTTGTAGTCATTGTGATATCTGTTGTAGTCATTGTGATATCTGTTGTAGTCATTGTGATATCTGTTGTAGTTGTGATCTGTATTGTGATATCTGTTGTAGTCATTGTGGTATCTGTTGTAGTCATTGTGGTATCTGTTGTAGTCATTGTGATATCTGTTGTAGTCATTGTGATATCTATTGTAGTCATTGTGATATCTGTTGTAGTCATTGTGATATCTGTTGTAGTCATTGTGGTATCTGTTGTAGTCATTGTGATATCTGTTGTAGTCATTGTGATATCTGTTGTAGTCATTGTGATATCTGTTGTAGTCATTGTGATATCTGTTGTAGTCATTGTGATATCTGTTGTAGTCATTGTGATATCTGTTGTAGTCATTGTGGTATCTGTTGTAGTCATTGTGATATATGTTGTAGTCATTGTGATATCTGTTGTAGTCATTGTGATATCTGTTGTAGTCATTGTGGTATCTGCTGTAGTCATTGTGATATCTGTTGTAGTCATTGTGATATCTGTTGTAGTCATTGTGATATCTGTTGTAGTCATTGTGATATCTGTTGTAGTCATTGTGATATCTGTTGTAGTCATTGTGATATCTGTTGTAGTCATTGTGATATATGTTGTAGCTGGTATGATATCTGTTGTAGTTTATGTGATATCTGTTGTAGTCATTGTGATATCTGTTGTAGTCATTGTGATATCTGTTGTAGTCATTGTGATATCTGTTGTAGTCATTGTGATATCTGTTGTAGCTGGTGTGATATCTGTTATATCTGGTGTGATATCTGTTGTAGTCATTGTGATATATGTTGTAGTCATTGTGATATCTGTTGTAGTCATTGTGATATCTGTTGTAGTCATTGTGGTATCTGTTGTAGTCATTGTGATATCTGTTGTAGTCATTGTGATATCTGTTGTAGTCATTGTGATATCTGTTGTAGTCATTGTGATATCTGTTGTAGTCATTGTGATATCTGTTGTAGTCATTGTGATATCTGTTGTAGTCATAGTGATATCTGTTGTAGTCATTGTGATATCTGTTGTAGTCATTGTGATATCTGTTGTAGCTGGTGTGATATATGTTGTAGCTGGTATGATATCTGTTGTAGTTTATGTGATATCTGTTGTAGTTTATGTGATATCTGTTGTAGTCATTGTGATATCTGTTGTAGTCATTGTGATATCTGTTGTAGTCATTGTGATATCTGTTGTAGTTTATGTGTATCTGTTGTAGTCATTGTGATATCTATTGCATTCATTGTGATATCTGTTGTAGTCATTGTGATATCTGTTGTAGTCATTGTGATATCTGTTGTAGTCATTGTGGTATCTGTTGTAGTCATTGTGGTATCTGTTGTAGTCATTGTCATTGTGATATCTGTTGTAGTCATTGTGATATCTGTTGTAGTCATTGTGATATCTGTTGTAGCTGGTGTGATATCTGTTGTAGTCATTGTGATATCTGTTGTAGTCATTGTGATATCTGTTGTAGCTGGTGTGATATATGTTGTAGCTGGTATGATATCTGTTGTAGTTTATGTGATATCTGTTGTAGTTTATGTGATATCTGTTGTAGTCATTGTGATATCTGTTGTAGCTGGTGTGATATCTGTTGTAGCTGGTGTGATATATGTTGTAGCTGGTGTGATATCTGTTGTAGTCATTGCGATATCTGTTGTAGCTGGTGTGATATCTGTTGTAGCTGGTGTGATATATGTTGTAGCTGGTATGATATCTGTTGTAGCTGGTGTGATATCTGTTGTAGCTGGTGTGATATCTGTTGTAGCTGGTATGATATCTGTTGTAGCTGGTATGATATCTGTTGTAGCTGGTGTGACGATCTTGTGATTTTGTTTTGTATGTTGTTTCTTTTTTTTTTTTTTGCTTTGGTTTTTATCTGTGTTTTGTTATTGACCTCAATTTTGATTGAATAATTATCAGAATGCCCTTATAGTACTGATAGTACATCCAAAAATAACACCGCTGTAGCATGGTATTGTGAAGCATGGGGAAATGAACCGGGCTCAAACTTAGATAAAAACGGACAATGATCCTTTATCACTTAAGGGATATATAAACAGGTTTTATTATCATCTGGACATTTCATATCAATAAGCTGTTTATTTAGATAAAGTCAATAGATGTAAGTGGATTATGTTGTGAGATATTAGATATAATTATCTTACAGACTGTGGTATAGATGCAAAGGATAATGTGTTAAATTTTTCTGGTTGTCTGTCTTGAAGATTGTTTAGAACTTGGTCAGTGAGTTAAGATGATGGATTCCTACCCACCAGTATGTATATCTTAGATTTAACACATTTTAATTCAGGGCAAAACTGGGTAGAGAGAACGGGGGAATTATCAGATTAAAAAAATGTGAAATAATTACATCTAGATTGGTGTCTGGTAACGAGGCTGGTTATAGTGAGAATTATAACCAGGCTGGTAATAGTGAGAATTTTCAAATATAAATTAAACAAAATGGGGAGTGCTGATTATCATTTGTACAGATATGTCAGACTGGTATATTTTGAGAATTTATTTTGCCTTGAAAGCTGTTGTATTACCAATTTTATTGATTACTGGTTAACTATACCTAACCTTTAAGTAACTAGGACCAGATGTCCAGTATAATCTATCTTCTAAATTATTTGGTGATATTTACTGCATAATTGATATGAAGAAACATCATGGAACCTGTGATACACTCCGGCTAAAAGTCGAGGATTGGCTATAATTGCAGGACAATGGAGTGATGTTAGTTGGTTCTATTAATAAACAGCAATAAGTGTGGGTGGGCTTATCAACAGGCCTATTGATCGATAATATTCAACAGTAACAGATACTGAAGTTTTCAATGGATCACAGTTTGGTTATTTTACTTAAAAGCAAAATGGCAGTACATATATCTTATTTTCCACGGATGTCATACAAGTTCTTGAAAATAATAACATTCCCAGTATGTGTACTTTGATTTCTGAAATTTTCTCTTCAGATTTATTTCTACAAAATGTGTATCTGGACAGATTTCCTGTGGATCGATAAAAAAAATAGAAGTCATACAATTTATATCTAGTAATAGCCCTGCTGTGGACTGACACAATTACTCCTGACACAAAGTAGGAAAGTGGGATTTTTACAGTACATTGTATCTGGAAACACAATTAAATGTGATAGATATGGATGGGCTTATTGTGAGGCATGGGCTTATTTGGGATAATTAGTAACTTCATCAGGAACCAGGTTTTCTAAGCCATTGTACCATTAATGTAATGGTTGATATATTAGTTGTACTACATACATGTGTTTTTTTATCAGTGTATTTCCAAAAGAGACAGGTACTCTTTTAAGATTGATATTTTGTGTCGTTTTAGATTTCACCTGAAAACATACACGTATCTGTAACAAATTGAATTCTAGATGTTGCATTACCAATTGTGCTCTCTTCATTTTTTTTTCTTTCTTTTTCAGAAAGGTACAAGTATAAATGGTGATGGGATGGACAATGTTCAAACGTCTACAGACCCTCTAACCACTGAAAAGTCCAGTTCTGCTGTGAGAAACAGGTAGTATCCAGACAAAACTCCATCAAGTAACCCTTTCTTGATTTAGACAATTTGTGTATAGGATTATCATTGGGTGTAAAAAAATTTATTGTAGAATTAGACGCAACTTCAGGAGATATATGTTAAACTTTTTACACTACATTTTACTGCAAAACACACATGTAATGATGCTAAATTATAAAGCATCCTCTGTGGTTTTCAAAATTAGCATGACATGTACTACATTGTATACATTGTAAGTAAAAAGTTTCTATGATAGTGACTCTGAAGTTCTGTTTTTTAAGGACTTTTTAGGTTGATAAAGGGCCTCATTTCCCCTCAAAATTATTTCATATTTAAGCATAAGTCCTAAATTTTGTAATTTACTTAAGAAAATTTCCTTCCACAAACTCACGATGATAATGCCCCATCCCAAATCAGAGGAAAAAACCCTGAGAGTTTCAGGACGACCATCATATGATTATGTATTGAAAGAAATGACATGAAATATGTATTTGATTACCAGAGGTACAACTAGTGCTGGACTACTCCATTCCATTGACCGCACATTTTACGACTCAGTAGAATCACAGCCAAACCATGGGATAACATGCAGAGGCAAATCCAAGATGGCTTCTAATCGAATTCCAGAATGGGCTTGGACTTTACTGGTGCACGTTTTAGGAATACAGTGTTCCGAATCCGCTATCAGGACAAAATGCTTGGCAATATTTTTGCAAATACTTACGATTTTAGTGGCCTGCACCTTTGCAGTGAGTGGAATAATGCATACTGTCTACGATATTATTTCGAAATTCTCTGATACAAGTCTCCTGATGGGAATTGTGAATTTGATTCTTGGGTTCAGTTGGATATGTTTGGGAATTTATTCGAATAGATTGTCCAAAAAACTTTTCAGTAATCGTAACTTTGTGGAAAGTGTTCGAATACACTCCAGAACATTTTTTAAAATCAGTGCAGCTGGACTGTTGATAGTTCTGGGTGTGATGGCTGTTGTCATCAACGGCTATGTTAAATATACTGGGTTTGGTCCGAGACATTGTCAGAAGCTGAATATATCCCCTGTCATCTGTCATGTGATGTATTCCTCCCATGTTACGTTCTCAGTTATCTCCCTTTTATGGAATTTACTTGTTGGGTGTATGCTGCTTTCTGTGTGCCGGACACATACCATAGGTGAGTTACTTGAAAGACATATATCTTTATCGCAGTTTCTGAAATCTGTTTTTGCAGTACACTTTTACTGTATATTTGTATAAATTAAATCAACCGAGAAAAGTTCTAGGACAAAATTTGTCTCTAATTTATTCTATAAAAATATGGAAGGTGATATTTGTCTCTAATTTATTCTATAAAAATATGGAAGGTGATATTTGTCTCTAATTTATTCTATAAAAATATGGAAGGTGATATTTGTCTCTAATTTATTCTATAAAAATATGGAAGGTGATATTTGTCTCTAATCTATTCTATAAAAATATGGAAGGTGATATTTGTCTCTAATTTATTCTATAAAAATATGGAAGGTGATATTTGTTTCTAATTTATTCTATAAAAATATGGAAGGTGATAACTGACATTTGAATTTTCTTTAATCATTTCTGTCACACCTGTTTGTCAGTAAGCGCATATCTGGTAATAAGCCCACTCATATCTGTTCCAAATTTAGAAGAAATGACATCAACAAAATGCTTCCCAATTTGTTTAGTTGATATGTAGCCCCAATGATTATTGAAGGACATGTACAATATTATAAGGAACAGATGACAAGTTTACAATGTTTGATATTTTGGTTGATATCTTAATTAGGTGTACGTCGGTTTATCAGAGTGCTGGAGAGCGATGCCAAATTGTACATGGAGATTTGTGGTGGAAATCACTCCAAGTTAAATCATAATGACAGCAAAGATATGGACCTTATATCTAATGCTTCATCAAGTGAGTCTTACAAACAGTTCCATGACCCCTACTCAGGGCGATTTGTGTTTCCAGGGGAAACTCAGATCACCAATTATCCTGCGGTTGTGTCATTTGACAAAACATGTTACCTCCAATTGTTTTGCCTTATGGACTAGTCCAAATTATTCTGATGTTCAACTTTTTTTTTATGTTGGCCTGTGTTCATTATCTCCAGACCGATATAGAAAAGTTGCAATAACATCAGAATAATCCAGACTAATGGTGGGCCTCCCACATGTTATCAGTGAGGTTGCCACCAGGTATTACAAGGAGATGTGTACATGGGATGATAGCACCAAGAAATTTTTTTAAGAAACAGAAATTTATTAATTAATTTTCGTGAATCCTCATTATCACATTACTATAATGTTAACAGTGTTGAACACACTTGTGATAAAGAATTAATTTATCTCCTTTATCAAATATCTTGTAATAAACGTTCCTGTACATCCATATAAGTTATGTCTTTTATTTAGTTCTGGAGTTATTGACTTGTTTTAACTGCTAAAGGTCGGTCATCAAGACACCATTATCACGTTTTATCATGTACAAAATTGTAGCTCAATATCGTAACAATTTTCAGGTAAACAGGTCTTTATCTTAACCACTGGTTGAATTTACATAGTTTAAGGATGTTTATATGCATTGTTCTTGTAGTTTATGAATTAAGTCATTAACTCTTAATATGCATACTTTGTTATGAACCTTCACAGAATGCGAATGGTTTATATGGGATGATGATGTAAACAGAGATGGATTTTCTGACAGTTTGGTCCATGACAAAAGATTGGAAACCTCACAGGTGACCCTTACATCAGTTCACTCTGGGAATCAGGCTGAGGGATATAGGCATTCTGCTGTAACAAGACACGCCCCCTCTAGAAGCGACGCCCACATAACTGGACACTCCCACAATGAGGAACAGTCCATCTCTGGGCATGCACATCCAGTCAGTTACAACTCACAGGTAAAATCCATACAAATATCATATCAGTGATATTAATGATGTTTCATGCTACTAGAAACTATTGTATTTATCTGATATAAAGTCCATGCCTGCTTATAAGCCTACATTATCTACTGTTTGAGCAGAGATTCCAGAAATGATGCTATAGGTATATTAGTACCTCCAGTGGGAACCTGAGGGGACTGTGGTTTTGTGTTGTGTCTGTCCATTCTTTCATCCATCCTTCTGTCTTCCAGCAATCTTGTTCGAGTTCTGTCTTCTACACAACTCATTACAGGAACATAATACTTGGGACATGGATTCTTATTGGTGAGCTAGTATGTGGCATATCAAAAGTAGATCACTCTGACCCATATTTTGACCTTTGACTTTCATCAAAGAAAATGCTTGTCCAGGACCTATCTTCTACATTACTAATTGTGGAGTCTTTTGATATGGTTCGCCCTGGTGAAATGGTGTGTAGTTGTTCTCTTTGGCCTACATTTTTGCCTTTGAACTACACCAAATAAAAAGATTGTCTGGATTTCTTTTCCACAGCATTGATCATGTGAACTTTATGCTGGAGATGTGGGTCCAGCATTGTGAAACAATGTGTCTATTTGACCTACATTTTGACCTTTAGAACAAAGAAAACAATTTTCTGGGATCTAGCTCCTACACCACTAATCATAGGAACTTCATACTTGGGATATGGGTTCACCTTGATGAAATGCTGTATTGCATATCAAAAATAGGTCATTGTGACCTACATTTTAATCTTTGACTTAGGTCAAAGCAAGAGTTTGTACGGACCCTGTCACAGGAACTTCATACTTTAGTTAAGGGTTCACCCTAGTGAGACGGTGTGTCACATTTTAAAAGGTCATGCTGATATACATTTTGACTGTTGACAGACATTGAAGAAAAGGTTTGTTTAGACCCATCCATCTACACAACTTATCTCAGGAAATTAATGCTTTGGATATGTCTTCACCGTGGTAGGTCACTCTGTCCTCTATTTGACCTTCAACATAAATCAAAGATAAAGTTTGTCCAGGCTCAATCTACAATGTTAGTCAAAGGAACGTTATACTTGGTGTAGGGGTTCACCTTTGTGTGTCAGTGGAGGACTGTGATTTGCCAAATTATCTTGGTAAATTTGATACCATTTTGGTGTACATGTAGTAAGTTGCTTAACGAAAACAAAACAAATCAAATGATAAAAAGTTCCCGTATAATTTCTATATCATGAAGCTCTTCCTTGAAAACTCATGGAGTTGTACACACTTACCATTGAATCTGTTTTACCTTGACCTTTCCTTTCAGCTGGAGGAGACTCTGATGGAAGATAAAACACTGACAAGATCAGTCCTCACTAACGAAGAGCTGTTGATGTGTTACTGGAAAATTTCGGTAATTAATATTCATTACTGTCTCAAATCCTGCTCAAGACACAGAATTATACAATATCTGGAATGATATAATACTATTTGTGTAGGATTATATCTATATCTATGTAGTAGTTTACTTATTGCAGATATTGTTGTGTAATAGTTCTGTACAAGAAAGTCGATCTCTCAGAACATCTTTATGTTGTTAATGTATATTGAATACACTATAGATGGTTTCCAAACAATTTTATAAATGATTGTGGAATTCATGAAAAAAATACAAAAGCACAGAACAGAATGGCTCAAGAAATTCTTTTTAAAAATATTGTAAATAAAAAATAACATTACTTTTATTTGCTGTTATTATCTTTTTCTTTTCTTTTTTCATTATTAATTTATCTATTGGTCCTGTAGTTTTGCCTCTAAGGCTTTATTAGGACGATCAAATCTGTATCACTGTCATGTAACATTATCTCACTTCTGATGCTGACTCAGGTGTAATGTCTTTATTCCCTTTTCTAACTACTGGATACATATAATAAAATACAATTTTGTTATTTCTGTGAAACCCGTGGCAGATTGGGTTTCTGAGAAACAAACCGATCTGTGCCGACATCTTTGAGTCCTTGGGCAAAACACTTTCACCTTAATTGTAATTGAAGTAAGATTTAAGGTGTGTGGTTCTGATTCAACCTGGGATTCATGTTTTTCAAGAAGCTGAGAAACGGACCGGTCTGTGTTGTTATGAATGTTTTTTTCCTCAAGACACCTTACCCTTATTACTCTGGATTTCATGTGACTGGCCTCCCATATGTTGTTCAGTGAGGTAACCACCAATTAATACAGGAGACCCAGTCTCAAAATGACCATGACTGTTGAATGGTGAAAAGTCAACAAATAAACAAATTAGTTTAAATTGTTCATGAACTACTTCCCTTGGCTTAATTCTGATTCAAGATCAAGTTGCATATATTTTTTTTATTAATTTTTTTCAAAAACTATAATTTAAATTTAAAGCACTATTCATGAGTGAGTCACTCATCTGAAGAGGAGGTAAAATCACTCATTAAGGTATCATGTAGCTTTAACTAATTTTTTTTAAAGAGAAGTCTAAATTGTTTAAATTGACAAAATATGTACTTTATGTCTGTGTCTTGAGTTGACAAAGATTTATAAGCAAGTGTTGTTAGCGATGCAGAAGATGCTAACCCTTCTGGAATACCAGGTCTTTTTCTCCTGCTAATTTTTTGGTGGTTTCTGTTTAAACTTTCCTTCACTGATTGTTGAGTGTGGATTAAGATTTTTGTTAATGTGTTGGTATTTACTTACTTGTTTTTTAAACTCCGACAGCACCGGATGCGCATCACATCGACATGCCTTCAGCGATGGCTGGCTAGCTGGATCCTGTTTGTCTTGTTATGGTGCGGAGACTATATTCTCTACTGGATCAGCCATGCTGCAGTCATTTGGGAGGTCATTGAGTGCATCATCCCACTCCTTCTCTTACTCATTGTGTGTTCAGCATTCGCTGAAGCCAATGGTGAAGGTCAACGAATGATTAGGGTGAGACTAATTAAAATTTCTGGTAAAATTTGTGTAATGAAGACCATTTTATATAGAAAATGTTTGAAATTTCAGTTTCAAAAGTATTCAATTGGCAGACTTATGTTTTCAGATCTGTAATTAAAATATAGGATTAATGTATTCCACTTTTCTGTGGAAAATCAGTGAAGTCTAAGAAGACAGTAATAGTAACATGAACACAAAAAATATACATCAGGAATTGTATTATTTTCTTTTTACACATAACTTTATCGTTTGAGAGAGAATGCTTTCTACAACCAAAGTATTGATGATATTTTACTTTCAGTGCATCTGTCCCACGGAGGCCAGACTAAAGTTACTGTATTTCCTAACACAGCAGCCATTGCAGATGCATGTATGTACATCTCTATTCATTGTCAGAAAATACACAGGACTCTTATCTTGTCCTATAACTGAAACATACACCGGACTCTGATCTTGTCCTATAACTTAAACATACACAGGACTCTGATCTTGTCCTATGATTTAAACATACACAGGACTCTGATCTTGTCCTATAACTGAAACATACACAGGACTCTGATCTTGTCCTTTAACTCAAACATACACAGGACTCTGTTGGGTGGGTAGGGGGGTGGAGGGGGGTCTGGCGATGTTACTAGATCAATGTTTTTTCCAGGGAGATGTTGATGTTCGTCTTACAAAGATTTCTTAAAAATTTCATCTTAATGTGACTGTTTAGCTAAACGGTGAACAATGTTTATTACATTTCGTAAACCTTATAAAATAAAATGTGTTAGAGGTATTTTCTTCCACACTTTAATCCCAAGACTTTTAGGGGTAAAAGTGTTCGTAGATATCAAATCAATGTACACATAGTTCTCTCACCTGAAGTCTCGTCTGAAAGTCCTGAAAAACAGTAAAAGTTTCTACACAATACATATTTTGTGTTATACAGTAGTGAAAACTGAATGTGATGAACACTGGATAAACTCTGTACTGTTTGCTTAATATTGAATAATATGTGCTGTAAGTTAATAAACAGGATAATGTCTAATTCTAAAATTTCTTGTTTCGGAACAGGTTTTTAATTTCTCCATCACCTACAATGCCATACTTGGTGTTGTGGCAGCCTTTGCTGTGGCCTTCGCCTCACGGATCATTCTTGATGAAGTTAACATTGGCAAATAGAATTGTGGCATATTTTAGGAGATGATATATAACAGATTTGTGTCATGATTACCATAATATGTACTCAAGGTGATGATATTAAACCTATTTGTTGGTATGTAAATAACTCAATTGTTAAATACTCCATGTTAAAATGATCAGAGAATGTTCTTCTATTAAGTGTAGAAAAAGTTACTGAATACAGAATTTTTATATTGGAAGTTTCTGTAAAGTAAAAATGTTAGAAGGATAAATAGACTTTGCGTATATATATTTTTTATAGATGTTTAAGTGTTAGGGGTCAAAGGTCTTTATGTGGGATCCCACCATTTTATGCTGTTATTTGTTAAGAACTGTTTACATTTTTTTTCATATACCAAATTCAAGAAAAACAGAAATGAACATGAAACTGATTTTATAAAAAAAAAACAACAAAAAAACAAAACAAAAAAAAACTTTTTCCAGTTTCACTTCATTTGTATCCAAATAGGAAATCAGTGAATTTCAAAGCAGTGACTGGAAAGCTCCCCTCTGATTGGTCAAATGTATGAAATGTTATATCATCACTAGCAATGATATAAGATTTCTTAAATGATTTCCTCAGTTTTTATCAAATTGATAAATTTCTATACTTTACTGGTGGAAAATGTAATAAATTGGTACAAATATATATCAATACTCCAATGATTTGTAAATATTTGTGTACGTGTTTGTAAAATCATGGATTAACATTATGTATTAAACTACACTAGATATGTGAAAGAATACTATATCTCATGCAAATTACATTATGTTATTGTAAATGACATTACATTCCGATAGGCCCTAACATCAACATATGATAATACATTTTAAAGGTTGACAATAGATAATTTGCATAGTTATAATTAATTATTGGAAAAAAAAACTTAAATACATAAAAAAATCTTTTATATGTTATATGTTTAGACTGAAAACTGTTTTATGCTTTTTATTTACCATGAATTGTTGTAGAGGGACTTCAGAAAAGATTGCAAAATTCTTTCAGTGTAATTCCCATTAATTCTATTACCTTTTAATTTCTAGGAATGGAACAACTTTACAATTCAGTAAAATGTGAAAGCATATTAAGAAATAATTTAACTTTTTATAATCTGTATGTATTTATTTACTAGTGTTACATGTTGGTGTCTATGTTTGTTAAAAATAAAATTACTTGATATAACATGTACTGGTGCAATATATTCATTTGTGCTTATGGCTATAATATACTATGTTACAAACTTTGAAGTGTTATTTTTTTTGTCTTTCTGTGTATGAAGATTTATTATAGTCCCAGTGAACGAGCATTGTTTTACAGCTGTTGTAACAGCAGTTTGGTCATTGAAAAGATGGTTGAAGATTTTAACAAATTCGAAGCCATGGACTTTGAAAATTATTCAATGTCATTAATTTAAGCAAACTCGAAAACCCCCAAGGATGCTTCTGACCCTGGGACTTTCAGGTTGAGACTACAAAAAAAAGATGTCATTCGACAGGAGACATGCCAGATCACAACATTCTTAGTGGACGAAAAACTTCCATGATATTCACATCCTAGTTACTATACTCCTCTACAATAGTGAGATATCTCATTGGTATTGTCCTTTTTCCTGTCTGGTCTGCAGGATTGTTCAGACAAGTCCTTAATCGACAAAATTGAGAAGGGGAGTTGTGGGGGAGGGATCACACGTGATCAAGATATATAGGCACATACAAAAAATGATGGATGGACTTAATTGTCCTCAATTAGTTTAGCTCACCTTGTCCAGATGACCTTTAGCCTTGACATGTCCATCCCTTTGTCAACATTTAAAACAAAACTAGTCATAAAACAGAAGCTGAAAGCATAATATATACATTGAAACAGACTCCATTTTTGTGTAAATTTAGATTATCTCTCAGTATACAGTTGTGTCAGTAAGATGTCTTGGCAAGGCATTGATTTTTTTTTGGTGAATGAAAACAAGATAAAAATATTCTAAAGTATGTACAATGACTTTCCTCTAGTCTCAGATTTTGTTTGCTTGTTTATCAGCCCATGAACTGTCAGGGTCATTTTTAGGTGGGATCTCCTTGTAGCTAGTGCTATTAGTGTCTTCTTGTCCAAGGACACAACTTCCTTTGAAACGCAAACTTCCCTGAACTGGGATCGTCGAACCTCACACCTAGAACCTTAACCTGATACAGTCTGTTCCTTACCAGCTCCACTGAAACATGGATATCAAATATTTGTCACAGCCCCCCCATCCATTAGTCTCAAGAAACGACCATTGGTATTTCATTGCCGAAGCCCATACTATTACATTTTGATATTTTGGGTTGTCTGGTGACAAAAACAACACAGAAGCTATAGAACTGTTAACAGTGTTTATTTTGTGAGGACAGACTGAATTAAAACAATGTACATATAACACTTGTATAAGTAAAGTGAATCTGGTGCTCTCATAGTTTATTTTCACATACTCACAGGGACTTCTCACCATTTCAAATCCCACAATCCATATATATGTATTAAAAGTACATATGGAGTGATGGCTTCAGAAGCTGTGTCCAGTTCCTGAGAATATACTTTGAATCCTAAACCTGATAGAACTTCAGTAACAAGTTACTGCCAGTACCTATATAACCTAAAGCTTTGTTGTTAGATCCACTCATAAAGTTAATACAGAAGTTTGTTATTATAAAGAAAGTGTTAATTATGATGAAACTTGCCAAAATGCTCAGAAATGTAAACAGCTGATACCTGTAACCTTAAATAGAAAAATTATTGTAAAATATTGTATAGAAAGTTTTACATTGTAACATGATCCTTACAATTTTATACAGTGTTACTGGTACAGTACATTGTATTTTTTATTGTCCAGTGTATAGATGAATGAAGTATAATTTATATTAATTCATATAATCTGATTAATCAATGATCCTGTGTACCTGTAATTAACAGTAATTAAAATGTAATTAGTTTTACACCAATTGTAACCAGCTGTGTGGTGTAATTGTAACCAATTAATGTTAAACTTTTGCTTTAACAAATTAATGGTAAAGAGTAATTGTAACCAATTAAAGGTCGAATGTAATTGTAACCATGTTAAAGTGTTGTTTTACCCAAATAATGGTAACATACATAACCAATAAATGCTTAATTGTAATTATTACCAATTAAAGTTAAAATGTGATTGTAACCATTTAATGGTGAATTTTAACGGTGACCAATTAATGTTAAAAAATTTATAGTAATCAATTACTGTCTAAAAGAGTTGTGTCCCTTGCCATGGCACACCCTTTTACAGAAGTGATTTGTGAGAAGCTAAGGAATGTACGCAACATGAAAACATTTACAATGGAGATTTTACTGCCTTGGTACAATATCAGTCTAGATTTCAGTGAATGCTTCTTATTTTTCTATACTTTATTTTTTAATTTCTTGTGAGTAGATTTACATTAGATAACGCATGACCAACAAAACAACAGGAAATAATTAACAATATTATCAATAAAAAAAATCTGATCAGTAACGAACTTAAAGACTATAAATTAAATAATCAAGACACTAGCGCAACAAGTTTTGATGCAGTCACGTCTCTGATGACAAAATCAAATCAGTCAAACGTAATTCTAAGCCAATTACAAATTAGTGTCATATAGATTTTATAAGATAACGTTTTGAATCCAGTCTTATTTCAATTATTTGCTTCTGATGGTACATACCAGAAACCCGATACAGAATTTAAATCTTAGGATTCAACTGTTGGTAGTAGTGGGAGACATCTATATTTCTAGCAGTTCAGAACTCTAATCAACGAATATTTTATTATGTCTTGCCTTAATTAATGTACATTTCTTTCCTAATCAAAAAAGTGAAATAGATATCAGTAAATTTTTTTTTTAACATGTTAATGAAATCTGTATAAAATCTTTATACACTTAAGGTTGTCCTGGCCAGAAAAGTAAAAAAAATACGAAAAAAACCTTAATTAAACTTATCATTGAATCTCTGAGTACAACTTTTATACATTGAAGTTTGAAACTGGAAAATGGTAGAAAAAATAAACTGACTTAAAAGGATACCAAGGCTGACTGATTCAAAGATCCGTTAATTTTCAAAAATCGTTTACAGAAATTCTGAAAATTTACACTTTTTTTGTGTCCAGTCTTGAAGTAATCACCCACTGTAAATTTAAATGTGTGTTAGTGGTGATCTTATTTTGTGCACTAACTATGTTTTCTGTATGTTGTAAACATAGAAAATATTATATATGTATGCATTCATCATTGCCTTTATTTGTTAAAAACTGATAATATGCTAAAATTTGATGGTGCCAAAATAAGGAAGTTTACAGTATGTAATTCCATAATGGAAGTTTTACATTGTGATTTTAATTGGTTAAATTTTATGTAAACCAGTGTTTGAAGAACAATGAGTGATTTCCTAAAAATTACGTAATCGAGTTCAATTTTTTTGCTGTAAAAGGTAATTCTATTTTCACCATTTGTTTAATGCTTAACAGGGGAAAAATAATACCTTAAAGGCATTTTTCTTTTCAATATCAATGACAAAATTTTCGAGTCATTTGTTGTTAAGCTTAAGATATTGTCATAACCAGCAATATATATACTGTATACCATGGTAACATAAAGGTTGAAAATATTTTTTTCATTTCCAGGGAAACCATTATGACTGATATACATCATGCTTTTCCTGCAATAAGCCCAGGGGTCCAACACCATACTTTCGACACTTCTGTCAATTTTGGTAAATTTTCAATATAATACGGGATTGTCTAATAATCCCTTGGAATATTTCCACCAATCACAAAGCTAGGATTGGTAGTAACAGCTTGTTCCAAAGGGTGTAACAATAGGCTGAAACCCTAGCTACATTTACTAGTAACAGACTGATACACTCTTAGGATCAAACTAGTCTCCTTGTCTTATCCAAGGTGCCGCACATGGAACTTGAATTTTGCCTTGAAATGATTCGGTGATGCAGAGAGAGATAGTGAGCATAACCCATGGAGTATTGAAGAGGATGTCAAAGGTGGGCTTATTACAGAACATTGAAATACAGTGTAATACATAGTGTCTGGTCTAGAGGCAAAGTACTTTACTAACTTATCCTGAGACTTCCCTTAAGCTTCAGGAAGTGGTCGAGGTTTACAAGTTTTGAATTTTACTGAACAGCAATACAATGTATTTATAGCTGATTTTACTGAACAGCAATACAATGTATTTATAGCTGATTTTACTGAACAGCAGTACAATGTATTTATAGCTGATTTTACTGAACAGCAGTACAATGTATTTATAGCTGATTTTACTGAACAGCAATACAATGTATTTATAGCTGATTTTACTGAACAGCAATACAATGTATTTATAGCTGATTTTACTGAACAGCAATAC